CTGCCTGACCTGAGGCTGAGTCTGTGCTTTTCCCGAGTCTCTGCAGGAAGCCTGGATGCTGAGCCGTGAGCGCGAGCTGAAGGAACAGCTGCGGCGAGAACGAGACAAAGAAATCGAGATCGCCATCTGGACTCTGGAGGAGGAGACGAGCAAGGACAAGGAGGAGTGTGAGCGGGCTGCAGACAACAAGTGTGTGATGAAGATTCGTTACAAAAACCTTTTTTTTTTGCGTTTTATTAGCAACATTTTGCTGTTCTTACAGTTAGACTTAAAGCATTCAGATATTTGAGCATGTGCAGCATATTTGTAACACAAGGACACACTGCAAAAACACAAAACCTCACCAATATATTGAGTATAAATATCTTAGCAAACTTCTTGAAAAAAGAAAAAAAATAAGTTACAAGTAACTTTCAGCAAGATATAGAGGCTTGTTTTACATAACTAATTCCTTTTTATATAAACTAACAAGAATAAACATAGAAAAAAAAAAACAACAACTAAGAAATAAACAGAGAAGATAGTAACCTGAATCATCCTTTCAACGCTGTCTTCTTTCAGGGTACGGCGCCTGAAGGAGAAGTATGACGCCGAACTGAGGGAGCTGGAGCGCTCGGAGAGGGCCGCCGTGGAGAAACAGCAGGAGGCGAGGAAGCAGCAGGTGGAGGCGCAGGGAGAACTGATCCGACTGCAGGCTGCGCTCAGACAGAAAGAGCAGGAGGTCCAAGACGTCACGCACACCAGAGACAAGCTGGCCGAGGAGCGCCGCAGCCTGGCCGAAGTGATACGGCAGGAATTCGCAGACCGCCTGGTGATGACGGAGGAAGAGAACCGCAGGTTGAAAGTGGAGGTGTCAGAGGTCAGAGCGAGGCTGCGGTTGGAGCTGGAGAGGATCACTCGCGAGAAGGAGGAGGAGCTGGCCGAAGTCCACCAACGGTGAGATGATGATATCATCATTATTAACGTTGATATTTCATTTAGTGGCAACAGTGCATTGTGGTTAAAAGTTTACTAAAGGGCTGTTTTTAATTTTGTCCCTAGAGAGATGTTAGAGTTGTCCTAAAAACTGAATACGAAGATCAAAACATGCAACACTGCAACAAGTTTTTAAGAAGTATAGATGCCTCTGAAAATGTGGAGAAAATAATAAAAAACTCCTGAGTTTTTTTTATTAGAGATGTGACGTATGTTTTTCAGTAGTTGCTGGAATGGAGGTTCAGTTCAATTTGGCTGTTCCAGAGAACACAGACTGATCCAAATCACATTTAGAGAGAAGAGCAACACAGCGTCCTTTCGGTCAACTTTCTAAGTGGTTCTTATTCTAACAGTCTGACTGGATGGAGATCATTAAAAACATAAATAAGATTAAAAAAATAAAACATCTAAAATCAAGTTACATTTTCTTAAATTTGAACAGTGGTCAAAATTTATATCCTTTCTATCGCCATGTTTGCTCAAAAAAAGATTGCGATGGTTTCAGAAATGTAAAATGATCTTGTGACCGGGTAGCTTAGCCAGTGCAGGTTTGTTTTAGCTCCTGTCTTTATGAAGTTAAATCTGAGCCCCAGTTTAAAGGTTTTGTACTCCAAAGATAGATCTTTGTGGAACACCAAGTCGCACAAACCAACTTTATCTGTTCGTCCACACAGCGACACACCAGCTATAAACATAGATAGATAACTTCCCCGGTGAAGTAGAGTCCCTACATGTTGCAGTGCTAATATGATCCAAGTTTTACATCATAAGGAAACGTTTCCATGTCTTCTCTGCAGAATCCATCTGTAGTGTGGGGCATGTTAAACTAACGCCCAATGACTCACTGTGTCTTTATGGCAATAAAGACGTGTGGGTTTCTGCTTTCAATGTGTCTTCAAACAAAACAGGCAAAACCTTTCCATCAACAAGCACTTCACCCTTTTTCCTTTTTTGAGCAGATAAAAAATAAACTGCATGCAGTTACCAGCAGAGGGCAGTATACTCTGCTCTATAATGAAACATACTGTATATAATGCTGAGAATAGTTTTGGAAAATCATTTTTTTAAATGTTGGTAGACAATTTAAAAAGATAAGAATCAGTTCATGCTGTGTTTATAACAAAAATGTAACTTCTACTTCATATTCTGCGACATGCAAATTCTCTGGTTCATTTGGGTTTGAAAGCGAAGCAGCTCAGTTATTGATACCAGGTCCTCACTAGGTAAACTTTAAGTTTGCTGTTTTAGAGCAAAACCAGCCACAATGCTTCTTATAAGCTGATTTCAATTAAGATTTGAACCTCTTAGGTGTGAAAAGTAGAAAAATGTGTGGCTCTTACGGGTTTTTTTCTGAGTAATTTTGCTTATTTTTAACCTTCCTTTATCTTTGTCCCCTAGGGTAAAGTCAGCCATCTTGAAGAAGGAAGAAACTGTGAATAATCTTCGTAAGCAGTATGAGGTGAGGTACAGTGTTGTGTTCTTTCTGAACCTTGGCTGGTTTTTAAACGCGTCCTGGGAAACTTCCTGTCCCCAGGTCCCAGTTTCCTGCTCTGCATCCATGGAAACACACGGCTCGCTCGCTCGCACAAACCAAACAGCTCCCCACTTCATGTTTACGACGGAAGCACACTTTCTAATCCTCAGACTGTTTGATAGGCAATTTTAAAAAATAACAAAAAACTAAAGTTGTAAAAAAACAAATGGTGATTTTTTTTAAAGTTGTGGTGCTTATAATTTTTGCTGGTCTGTTTATTTATAAAATAATGCTCTAATTTCTGCTTTTTTCATTTTTCTACTTTTAAGCTTAAAAAAAATTTTTTAAAATGCAACAATCTGATTTATTCATCAGGAAGTGTGAGTCTTTGTCACAACTTTTGGTGACTGACACTCGGGCGCATCACAACAGATCTGCAGCTTTAACTTCCTCTGTGCTCTGCTGCTGCAGCAGCGAACAGAGCTGCAGGTTTTTTGGAAAATCTTTTTAATTTTTTTTTTTTGAGAAATATCTTTTTAATTTTTTTTTTTGAGAAACCTAATTAGCAGGCAAATATTTCTTGACGATATGTACTTTGTTTATGCTATCTGACTTTGTGCATGCTATCTGAGGCGTTGCCGCGCTATGTCACGGTTCGTGTTCTGCAGCTCTTGACTCGGCTCGTCCTCTGCTCTGCTCTGACAGGCTGCTGTGAAGAGGGCCGACCACCTGGAGGCTCTGTGGGAGCAGCAGAGGAAGCATCTGTTGGAGAAGTGACTGACAGGAGCGTCTGGTCTGTCCCCACCCCCTTTCAGCTGGTGGAGGTATTTTCTCCCTGCAAGACTGAACCTGCGGAAGGCTTAGAATGTGATCTACCTCATTGTTAAAAAAAAAAAAGAAGGCAAAAATGTCCTGGATTTCACTGTAAGCACCCACTTTATCCTTGGCCCCCCAGGCATAAAAGAGGGTGTTGTTTTGCCTTCATTTGTCTGCCACAGACCAGGTGGCAGTAGATCAAAGCGCCGCACACTGACTTTCCTCACAGACTCTTTTCAGTCGTTATGGCATTCCTGAGCAGGAATGTTCACGTTCCCTACGGGGACGGACCAGAGAAGACTTCCAGATTGTTCCCGGAGCCTGCTGGTGTGCAGCCGGACGCAGCAGGGGCCGTTCCCATCGGCGTCATGTCAAGCGTGAGCTCTATGCCTGAAACGAGTTGAGTAATCACTGACTCGTGTTTTTAATCGTCATTTCACCACCCCCTCCCCCGAAGGCGAGTGCTGATTACAGAACTTTATCCAAGTGGGCCTGGATGCAGCTCTGTCTTGGGTTTAACAAAACTGAGAATGGTTGCAGACTGAAACTAGAAGGATGCAGGACGTTAGCAAAGAGGGCAAAAACAAGTGGGGAAGAATGTCTGAGGTTGGATGATTGCAGAGCGGTTCTGAGGGTTTCTGAATGCGGAAAAGTGGAAGACGAGGAACTGGTGAGGGGGGTGCAGGGAAGAAGGAATGCCAGAGAGAATGTGTAGAGGATTAGGGAAGCAGAGCTGCAACAGAGCAGGGTGGGTTGGTTGGATCCGAGAGGGAACAGCACATGTTGATCCTGAGGCTCCACAGAGGAACAGAACCGGCTCCACGCCTCACTGGGTCTAGGAATCAGTTTGAATTATTCCCCCATTTCTTCCTCACAGGAAATGTGCGTTGATTGGATTTCAGCAAGTGAATCCTATTGTTTAGGATCGAGTATGTGTGAGAGAGAAAACGACCCAACGGGAAAGTCCAAAAGTCTTCAGATCACAATATTTATTCATTATTTTACCGTTATTTATTGCTGCACTCATACTGCGGTGTTGCTGCTCCGCAAAATCATCTTGTTAAACACGTCAAATGATCCTTTTTTTTTAATTACTTTTTTATGAACATGTATTCCTGCGAAGTCTTTCAAATTGTTCCATTTTGAAAAAAGTTTATTCAGATTTTAATTGTAGGGAACTTGATGGAACAACATTATGTGAAATATTTTGCTGTAGTAGAAGAGAGGCTGGGTCTGTATCAGTGGATCGGACGGCTAACCGTTTCACCTGGTTGCTTCCAGAGACCCACTGGTTCAGAAAGTTGGTTTGAAGCAGCTGTGCTCCAGTAGGGAGGCGGAGTGAGCAGACATTTCTCACATTTTCCCAACCCTCAGAGTGTGACAAGTTCACCACTAAGCCTCCCGTTGTTCCAGCCAAGTCGTCCCAATTTAGTCCAATTTGGTCTATTTGTTTTCCTTTGTCTGGTGTCTTCTACATCTGTAAACATTTCTGGCCGAACGTAGATCTCCTGAATGTTTTAGTTTAATTCCAATTCTTGTTTTGGTGTTTTTCACAGCGGTTGGTTTAAAGCAAACAAAACTGTGACTTGAACGATGACCGATCAGTCTGCAGAAAGAGAATAAAAAGCAAACCGTTTGGAATCACAGTTTGTTCTTTGTCTCTGTTCACTGTGGAAAACCATTCTTGTCTCATTTTTGTCCCCCGTTCCTCCGAGCATCTCTCCCAGTCCATAAATCACGAGGAGACGCGGGCGCCTCCTCTGTTCCCACTGGAATCCAAATTATGTTTGCTGCCCTTTAAATGTGAAGTGATTTATCACCTTTTACTGAACCGAAGTAGTATCTGCGAACTAACAAAAACTTTTTCTAACTTCAGTATTCTTCCCGTTTCCACTTGTAAATCAGAAAACACTCACTCAGCGGAACCATGTACTTCTTCTTCTATTGTCCTCCATCACACCTCAACTCTCACTTAATCCATGCAGCCTATCAGAGCTGCGCCTGCTGCACCAGGTTGTTTCTTTCAGTCTTTAGTGGAGAAAGCTGCTCTGACTTGATGGGGACGTTTGGATCCTTCCTGAATGTCTGTGGCTCAGTGATTCAGTCCCTCACAGCTGCCTGTCCATGTCTAACTAACTTTATAGCTGCAGTGGGCTCTCCACCCCCCCTCCTCTCATGTTTGTCCAATTGCCAGCAGCTGTTACTCATTTCACAAAAGGCCCGCCCATCCAGAGCTGAGACTGGCAGTGAGGCTCTCAGCGCTCCGTTAGAGGAAGACGTCTCCGCTGTCAGAGAAAGGTGATCTGCTGCTGCTGCTGGTGAGAGGATGTTTGTTTTCTTCTTCTTCTTCTTCTTCCTGTGTTTCGATGTGAAAAGATTTCTTTGTTTCCGTAGTGAGGCAACAGAGCCTCCTGTTCCACATAACTCAGGCTGAAGTCAGGCTTTGTCACGGTTTCTCATTTTGGCTCTTCTGTTCTGCTGAACTTTCTTTTTGTCACTTGAGCGTTTTCCTTTGAGTCGCCGGACCTATAGTCTTTTTTTATTTATTTATTTATTTTTCTATCTCTCTGCTTGTTTTGAAAAGAGCTGAGCTAACTGCTCAGACTGTTACCAGGGAGTTTATCAAGAAACTCTATTCCTTCCTTTCTCCCTCCGTCTAAGTCAGAATCAGCTTCATCTTACTGTCGGGGATCATGTGGGATCTTTCTAGCAGATCTCTCTGGCTCTCCTCTGACTGCTGACAACTTCAGTCAGGCTCCTCCAGACCTGCTTAGCAGCAGCAGGCGCACAAGTGTCGTCTAAAGATAACGTTTCTGGTTTCCTGCTGTCGCCTGGGGGATGTGGCTGACGTCAGGACGCTCCGTTTGAGTCCAACCCCTTGGGGTCACACGGGATCCTTTTCTGTATTTGTCAGAGGAACGACAGGAGATAAAGGAAAGAATCGGAAGACTCCCCCGCTCTGCTTTTGTGTACATGAGCAAAAGGGTTCATTAAAAAGGGATTGCATGTTGCTGAGAGATATAAAGTTTCCCCTCTAAAGTGTCTGCCCCTGTTTTGACTCTTTGTTTTACGTCCTCTCTGTGTAGCTGCGTTGAGTGAAGTCGGGATCGTTTTAAGCCTCGCCTCACACCGGCTGGCCTGAACAGGGAATCCCTCCTGAACTCGACTGCATCAAATTCCGCCTCCTCATGCCCCCGCAGGCGGAGCGCGGCGCCCGGCGAGCGAGCGCAGCCTGTTGCCTGCAGCAGCCTGCGTCCTGAGAGGGATGGCCCTGAAGAGGCAGCTGCTGTGGGCCGTGGGGAGCGTCGTCTGCCTCCTGGTCATTTACATGCTGTGTTTGAACACACAGTGGCGTCCGTCGTTGTACCTGCTCGATGTGAAGACCTCGCCGGTGAGGACGGTCAGGTGAGGGAGTTTCCTTTCAGCTTTTTATTAAGCATTTTCAGAACTTCATTCTGTACCACCTAAAACACACATTTACAAAGAATTTTGCTCTAGTTTTTACTGTAGATATACTGCAGATGTACAAAACTTACTTCTAAGCAATTAAGCAGTAATATAGGAGCTCCTTTTAAGTCAATCATTTCTTAATGTTGATGGAAAAAAGTGCAAGTTTTAAATGAAATAATCTGCCAGTGGAATAAGACATTGCTCCCCATACAAGTTAAAATGTCTTGTTCCACTCAGTTATTTAATTTACTTGTACTTGTACATCAATATTGAGGAACTACTAACTTAAAGAAGCTCATATTTCTTGCTGAAAATTTGCTTGTAAGTTTCTACACCAGAAGTAAAAAATAAAAATAAAAAAATAGAACATTTGCTCTAGAAACTAGACCAGAACTATTTGGTAAAACTTTGTTTTTGCAGTATGCAGTTTTCTTTTCATCATCTCCTCCTAAAGTCCATATCTAATTCAGGTCATAAGTTTGCAGATGCTCATAAATGGCATTAATATCATTCATTTTGGATCTTTTAAAGATTCCCTAATTCCATTCTTTTTCCAGCAAGCAATTATGCAACTTTAATCTAAAAGCAGGCTTAAGGAGCATGAATTAAAACTTTACTGTAGGTGTCCTATAATCCCTGCAGACTCAGTGTTGTTCATATCAGGTGAAATATAAACGTACTAACTGGACCATTCATCCTAACGGACATGGCGTTCCTTTAAAATGGCTGTTTTCCTGACACAGACCGAGCTTCATTCATCCTTTCAGTTTCGATGTGTGTTTGGGGTCATTCTGCTGAGGTCAAAGCAGAACAATTCACTTTATGTTAAATCTCATTGGCTGTCGGTAAATTTTGGCTCGTTGATTCGATGAAGAGCAGTGAAAATGAAAGGAACAAAAACGTGACCAGGAGACATTTGTCTCGCCTGGTTCAGACCTTTGAACTAATTTCACTACTGGTATTTATTTAAATATTCTGATAGCTAGTTACTGTCTGCTGCCTCATGCCTCAGTCGACTGGCCTTGATCACAGATATTAGATTAGACACAAGCCTTGGATTCGTTTGTTTTTTAGCCATTTCCTCAGTGCACAACAGTTTTTCTTTCTCGCTACTTTGAAGGCTGACTGGGAAGGTTTTTCAGTTCTCGTCTGTGGATAACCACAACGGGGGTGTTTAGAAACAAAGACTGAACCGGTGGAAACAAAAACTTTATTTAGACTTGCTGTACAAACTCCAGCAGATGCATCTGGTTTTCAGCACTCAGTCTGCAGAAATCTGTAGCTGAGTTTTAGTCATTTTCTGGTCTGGATAGGCATTTTAAATCCCCAGACTGTAGTCCAGGCCTTGTATTCTGTCTTTCCCTCCTTGTGGTTTACCTCTCTTCTTTCTGTGCTTCCTTCCTTGTTTTTTGTTTGTTCTGCTTTTCATTTGGTCCCTGCTCTCCTTCCTTCTCTCTGCTTTTTTGTTTACAACTCTTGTATTTCCTGTGTTCTTTCCTTTCTCATTTTGCCTTTTCATCCTCCTTACCATCTCACTTCCTTCCTTTTTTTATACTTCTTCACGTTGTCTCTTTTTCTTTTTTCTTTCTTGTCCATATTGTATGTCCTTACTACTGTCCGTTCTCTCCTTCGTTTCCCCATGTGCCTATTCCTTTTCCCTTGTCAGCCTATTTTTTTCTATTAATCATTCTTTCCCTCGACTGGTTGTAAAAGCCTGAGAGACAAATTGAGCCTGAATAAGCCCTGGATGTTGGACTTGCATGAATCTTTTTGACATCGTGTCCTAAATCTTAATCAGTATAACGTTTTGACCAAAGAAAACACACAAACGCTCCTGAAATTTTCAAAGACGAGCCGGGTTAGTATAATTAAACAATCAAATCTTGTCGTGTTTTTAGTTGAGGCAGAGAAGTGAATCATGTCGGAGTTGAAGGGTTAAACTGTGATGAAGAGTTTCTACTGTATGACCAGCTCCTACCCGCCCCTCCTCCTCTGCTCCAAGTGGATCATTGTGGCTCCAACAAAGGAACCACACAGCACTCTGCTGCTCTAATGAAAAAAAATCCCCTGGAGTTATTCGACTGGAGGTGGTCTCTCACACACGAACGTGAAATGTAAGCTTTGTTCCGATGGGCAGAGCTCCAGCTCTAAAAGCCAGCAGGACCCTGACAGATGCATTAAGGCCAGCTGAGAGAAACTGGAGCGGAGACTCATTTTTGAGGTTTTTTTTTTTTTTTTGGAAGATGATGACGAAGAAGAAACTAAAGGGGAATGAGCCCAAAAAGTGTGAAAGGTTTCAAGAGCTGTTCTCATCTGAGAGATGAATCGATGACAATTGTGACTGATCTCAGATTTTTGTCAGTTCTGAGTAATTTTTTTTCTTTTTCTTTTTTTTAGCGCTACAACAGCTTTGCATATTTTGCATATTAAAAAAAAAAAACTGTTTCTGCTAAGATCAACCAATTGTTGATCTTATACGTATGGTACGTTTAAGCAGAGGAAATGTGCCGTACTTGATTAGTTGTTGGCTTTACCATCCGACGGTGAACTTTGTTGCAATAACAGTCAAGACTGTACTTGGGAGAAAATGTTGATCCTCAACCGTGAGATTTCCAGGAAACTGATAACGTTTTCTCCTCCAGAGGTTGAAGGTGCAGAAGCGTTGCTGTAGAACCTTTAGACCAGTGTTTCCCCACCCTGGTCCTGACTTGCACTGCCCTGCATGTTTTAGACATTCCCTGCTTTACTACGCCTGATTCAGCTGATTGCCGTTCAGCAAACGCCTGTCAACTGAAATCACCTAAAATCAAGTAGACGCCTAAAACATGCAGGGCAGTCAGCCTTCATGATCAGGGTTGGCAAACTCTGCTTTTGACCTTCTTAGCATCCGCTTTTAAGTCTTGCTCTCGCTCACCGCTGCAGCTTAAATGAAGCACCAGCTTGTCATAGAAAACAGAATCTGCTTTAAATCATCATTTGTCTTCGTTTCACCGCCTCACGACCTGCGTTTCCATTACAGATGTGAGCAAACCTTTATCTAAGTTCTACTAATTCCTAACAAAAACACAATTTTGCAATGTTCCCATCGAGTAAGGAGTGAAATTAAAATCTTTAAAGTTTTCTCATGCGATAAGCCATTTAAAACCATGGCAGCAACGGCTGCAGTTGCATAAGATTATATTTATAAATCAGCCATTGCATTAGTGCAGGTCTGTTTATAGCGTTGATCGCTTGACTGATGTGATGTGAACAAGTTTCCATTGCAGTTCTGCAAAATGTATCTATTTTAATACTGACGAAAAACAACACCTCGCAGAAAAACTTCTATATCATAAATGTTTTCAGAATTGGCTTCCCCCCCCCCCATTAAGCGAATTTGAGCTGGGCATATGGGTTTTACACTTGTTGGGTTCTTGTGATAAAATGTTCTTTAAGGTTTTATGAGTCGGTGCAACGTTTATGAAGGTGGGTGAATCAAAAAGCCGAGTTCAGACTGTTTGCTTTCTGCAGATTAACAAAACACTCCTTTACCACATATCAGCCAAAGGGTGTGTGCTGTCACCATTTGAGATAACGCTGATTAATCAGGACTGCTGTGATCACTGAACCTCATTTAAGGAACTTTCCATTTCGGTTATTTTATGACACTTTAAAAGAGAGTTGTACTTTAATATATGCATCTTAAACCTCTTAGTTTCTGTTTTTTTATTTATGATTTTTCTTTCTGTTTGCCAAATCCAGAATAAATGTAGGAATATTGTTGTTGTTTTTTTAATGCAACCAAGTTATCAGATTACAATGTGCAAAGGTTGGTTGCTTTAAGGTATCTTCATCCAACAATGGGACCTTTACCAAAGCCAGAGTTTGGCTGCATTATTTAGTTTTTAATTCATTTATTTGAGCTCTTTGCCGTTTTTCACCCCAGCATGTGTGAGTGTGACTGAGCTCACAGTCCAAACTGCCAGCAGAATGAGGCGGTTTTAATGAATGTTCAGTCGGATGCCGTGCTGCGTCCATCAAGATGGACTCAGCAGCTCCTCTGTTCTGCTGCCCACGTTGCTCCTCCAGGGAATGTGGCGGTTGACTTTACGGTCACATCATCAGCCATCTTTGACCCCGTGGCCCCTCAGCAGGTCACATTTCACAGTATTTACCGAGAATGCTCTTCCCTGCCACTTGGTTACACATTAATTCACTTACTTTAACATCTGTAATTAATTTTGAAGTTTTGTTAGTTGGTTTTATTACTTGACATCCGTCAGTCATTGTAAATTCCCTGGAGTTATTCGACTGGAGGCGGTTTGAGTGGGTTAGTTTGGATCCTTAGAGGAAGAGCACGTTAGCATTAATTTGTGCTGCTGGTTGTAAAAGTGTGCGCTCATTAGACTGAGACAAAATTGGCTGAAAATGATGCAGAGATCTTTAATTTGATACATAAATACTGCTGCTAAATTGGTAACTTCACTTCATCCTTATTGATCTAGCCTGAACCGTCTTTGTCATCCATCACTAAAACAGGCCCAGTAATGTCAGCGAATCAGCATCATGAAGTAAGACGGAGGCTGTCATTGCTAGCTAAAGCTGTAAAACATGTCAGCAACCTGTCAGTTCTTGAATATTTGCTCATCAAATAATAGGTCAGCGCACATAGTTTCTCTGAAGTCAAGCCATTCCATTATCATGATGTGGTAACTTTTATTACAACTTTACTAATTGAGGTAGTTGACAGATTGATGCTTTTTTAAATTAATTAGTGGCCTAACACTAAATTACATTTGTCAAACCTGAAATGAGATTATTTTATGCTTTTCTTGGATCATGTTTTGAAATACTTAGCATTTTTCAGGCTAACAAGTAAAATTTCTATTTTCTAAAAATTAGGAGTTCTCTTCCAGTTGCACAGTTATGCGCTAGTTCCTGTCACATAAAATCTTACTATATACATTTTATGTCAAATGAAACGAGACATGACATCTTCAGGGCTTGTGGATGATATTGTAGTTTCTCTACAGTTAATCCAAAACGAATGATTTCCCCTCGTCTCATTTGCACCAGCACCAATTAAAGTCAATGCTGACGTGAACTGGTCTGTTGATAGTTTGTGTTCTAGTACAATCTTGAATACTAATGAGGATGTGCAGAGTAGTGTTTTCCTACAGACTCTACATAAGTTGGCTGAGAGTCGTGTCCTTTCAGGAAGTGTAATGGCTGAACTGTTCCTTTAAGAGCAAGTGGAGACTGAGACGATTGTGTATGATTTGATCCTTCACAGCACCTCTAAGAATGCCCTGCTCAGATGGAGCGACCTCGTGCAGGATGACCTGACCTCCACCCTTCTTGACCTCGCGGGAGCCAAACAGACTGCAGCTTTAAAGACTCAACCAGTCACCAGCCCACCAAAACCAGCACAAGACCAAATCAAGAACGACTCGCTGTCCAGGTCTGAAGGTGAAGACAAAGCCAAAAACACCACGAGGGCCCCTCTGTCCAAGACCGCCAGGCCGCCGGGCCCCACAGAACCCGCTTACATCGGAGACTTTTACATGAGTGAGAACATCCCTCCACAAACGGTGAGTGAGCTCAGTTGCAGGAGACCAGGAGTGCCCACCCCTGGTCTAGAGCCATAGAGGTTGTTCCTGTGTAAAACTGTTCACACCTTTTACACTGAAAACGGTGTGAACGGGTTTTCAGTTCAGGTTCTCCTGACATGCAGATTTTAATTCTGTGAAAGTCTGTCTGCTCTGTTTAAAATGCCTTTTCTGCACCACTTTAAAAGGACTGGTGACTTTATTTGGTTTCACAAACATCCTCTCTTTGCATGATCAACCTCAGTCATTGGATTACTGTTTACCTGAAGCTCTTAAGTATTGTTGACAATAGCAAGTCACTATAAACCGAACTTTGTTAGGACTGTTTCATAAATCTAAGAAATGCTCTGGTCTCTGAGGTGAAATTTAACCTGGAGTAGTGATTAATATTCCCTGTAACCTGATTTAAACTGGAGAAATGGGAGTTTACATTTCAATGTTTGTAGATGTCACATGATCTGGTTCAGCAGTGGAAAGGATTTTAATGTTCTGGTTCAGGTCCAGCTCTGTGTTGTCACTGGGCGGCTGCCGCTGATATGCAGATCTTTGTTCCGGTTTCATGTTTTAGTTTGCGATCGAGGTGTGTGTGTGTGTGTGTGTGTGTGTTTTCGGGCCTTGTTACGTGTTGTGTTCTCTCTTAGGACGCATTAACGCTAGTTGTGTAAATGACTGGTTTGTTTACAAGATCAACAGCATATGTTACAATAAAAATGACGGCGCACACAAAATCTGGTCTATAACAATGTATTAATGTCTCGCTGTCCAGGTCTGAAGGTGAAGACAAAGCTCCCATTCATTTACAGTAATGATTGTTTTTAAGAATAAACCCGTTGTGGCTGCTTTCAAAGTTCACATGCAAATTCAGATGTTATCCCTCGTCTAAACACGGAAACCATACAGTGGTACAAATTCAAGACACACTCATGCGGTTTAACTGCGAAATGTGGTTGAAAGTTTTCCTCGAGGGCTTAGTTTTTAGGAGCTGTTCACTCATAAATATATATTTTTAATGTCACCAACATAACAGTTTGTGTTTCTCAGGTTTTTCTAAGTTTAAAGTGCTTAAAAAGCCACATTAATGTCCCATAAATTAGTTTATTTGTGCAAACCCATAAATGTGTCCATTGTATATCGACTCTGGTTTACCGATCCATGAACACATAAAACACATGAAAGTTTCATTTAAATCAGGTTATAGGGAATATTAATCACTACTCCAGGTTAAATTTCACCTGAGACCAGAACATTTCTTAGATTTATGAAACAGTCCTAACAAAGTTCGGTTTATAGTGACTTGCTATTGTCAACAATTCTTAACAGCTTCAGGTAAACAGTAATCCAATGACTGAAAGCAGTACTTTCATGTGTTACTATATTAGTGATGTGCCAGAGAAGTTTTCTGCAACTTTCTCGTTTATTTGAAAGGGAATCAAGTTGTTTTTAAATTCTCCTGTTCATCGATTGAGAAACCAAGACGGCAAACTTTTCTTACAACAGCCGTTTTTATGAATATCATAGATTTAAGACACTTTTATTCAGTCAAGTCTGAAAAACCTTTTCAAAGACATTTAAACGTAAAACCATCTTTTTAATTAAGTTGGTGAAAGATTTGAGCACTGGAGACTGTAGTAAAAGCAGTGGCGACTGATTCAGAGGCTCCAGTCTCACCACTAGACGTCTGTCGCCTTTTCCCCTCCTGCCTAAGGTCATGTCGGGTCACCCGGTCTGCCGTACCTTGTGCTATCTCACCTGCTGACGGACCGTGAAAGACGGGGACTGTACAGTTTTCTCTGTTTTTGTTTTCATGACTTTACAGCTGTGCTATCCGCTCCTCACAGAACTGCCCAGATGGGATCCGAAGTCGGATAAAGGAGTCCGAGTTGAGACAGCGATTCCTGGAGCATATTCCCGTCCTGCAGTGGGCCCAACATGTGACTCAGGAGCAGTACCAGCGTCTGAAACAGTACCCAGGAACGCACGGCTGGGGAGGCATCGACTACGACAGTGAGATCCACCTTCTTGAAGCATTTCATCTAATTTTCAATTATTTTTTTTTCATAGTTTGATTGGATTTTATCATTTGGAAAGTTTTCACTGTTTTGTGTCACAAACTTCTGCTTTACATGCAGAACTAGAATTGCAGTAATAAAACACTGTTTGATGCTACAAGATAAACTCTTGCTTTGTCACAGCAGTGGAAAATCCGGTTTCATTTTTCCATAAAACTGTTCCTATGATCCATCGCCACCTCTGAAAGGAATCTACCCATCTTCATTGGGCACAAGGTTCATGTTTAACTTTGCTGATCTCTGAGTTTGCACAGGATGTAATGATACATCCCGAGCTGAACAATCATTTGCTTTAAAATTAAGGATGGGTGCAGACTCGTGGGTCAGGCTCAGGCGATCAGAGAATGTAGGAGGAGTTTCCTTCGTTTCTCCAGAGGATCTGGAGCCTGACTGTTGTTGATGGGAGAGAGTTTCTTCCACACGACTTTCTCAGAGTAACGTCCGACTCTGCTATATTTTAGCTGTTGCGGGTCCCTGGAAAATGTCTTTGTTTTTCTTTTCAGATCATTCTCCCCTTGGAAAGAAAATTCTCCATTAGATTTTAAGCAACCTTTAAAAAAATAAAATAAAAAAATTACATAACTATCAATAGCCAAAACATTGAAGGATTTTCTGTCTCGGGTGCATTTATAAGGAGTCAATAATTAATAAATAGCTGGTTTACTCAAAGCCAAAGACTCCGAATCTCGACATGTGTCGTTCAAAAATATTTTAATATTTCATTCAGTTCAGGTTCATTTTTGATCAAATGTCACTCCAGTCAAAATGACTCTTAATTATGCATGAAGAATTTTTTTTTTTTTTATCAAATAAAGTGAACTTTAATAAATCTTGGATCAGGTCTCAGATCTGTGTAATTATTGTGCAGTGAACCAAACTTTAGATTTTTTTAAAAATTGTTTTCAGACAGTGTGAGGAAGCAGGAGTCTCATATGATTGTCCTCAGATTCTCCTAATATGTAAAGATGGGCTGTGATCTGTACAGTTCAGGAAACTTTTTATTATCTTTTGCCAAATTCTGCTTCTCTCTTCAGCTCTGATGGACACTCTGACTGTGCTAAACTCCTCTGCCAACTGGAGGATGTTGGATGACTGGGAAAGTCGCAAAAATAAATCGGAGTGCAGCCGCTGCGCCGTGGTGGGAAACGGAGGCATCCTGAAGGGCTCGAAGAAAGGGAAGGAGATCGACGGCCATCATTACGTCTTCAGGTACGCTGACGAGTTTGGCTGCCATGGCAAAGTACCACACGCCCTCTTCAAAGACGTTTTTTTTCACTTCACATCAAAATAAAATAATCAATTTTCTGTTGTTTTGAGTGGTTTGGGTTTTCTTTCCGTGTTTGTGGACTCTGTGGTTCTCCAGGACTAACGGGGCGGTCATTAAAGGCTTCGAGGAAGACGTGGGCTCCCGGACCACCCACTACACCTTCTCCACCAACACGCTGATGAACTCCATGAGGAGCTACGGCGGCCTCGGGTACAACGGACCGCCCGTGTCCACGGTGAGGACGCCGCTGAAGGGTCTCTCCTCCGTTTGGAGGAGGCATCCTCACGTTTTAACGCTCCGCTGCTCCGCCGCAGGAGACGCGGTACGTTTTCCTGCCCGATCACGACCGGGATTACCTGCTGATGAAGGCGGCGTCCACGCACACGCTGGTGGAGAGCGGACCTGAGCGAGGCAAAGAGTGAGTGACGGTCACAGATGAGGCACAAAATGCAATTTCAAATGAGGCTTGTGTGTATAAATTTTTACAGTGCTGTGATTAAAAAATATATTTAGATATTTAAATTCTCATTCAATTTTAAGAATAAATCTTTTAAAAATTGAACGTGAACTTAAGGGGAATTTGAATTCTTAATGCATTTTAAGACGTTTCCTCTCTTAGTTTGACATGTTTTTGAATATAAAATTGATCAGATCTGTATCATATTCTGAACTGATTTAGATCTAATCTTTAGCATATTAAAGCGATCAACCATTTGAGCGAACCGAACATCCTGAAAGGTCGATATAGGAGCATCTACCGTCCATCGACTGGAGCTGCAATGCTGCTGGCCGCGTAAATATTTGAGACTTCATCCGTCTCAAATATTTGTATTTGACTCGAGTCAAATACTCCCTGTAGCTCATTTGCTTGACTCGAGTGTTTGTTCTGATGCTTCTGATTGGGACAAATTGTCTCATGTTTCACTTTAAAGGAGCTCAACCTTGGCTAAGCTCCGCTCTGTGAAGGTGTTTCTCCCTATGTAAATTCAACCTGACGTAAGTCAGCCAAGTTGAAACAAAACTACAGTCTGCAGTTGAAGTGAGTCACGTAACGGAGAGCCCAGAAAGTGTGGAGCTGAAACCAGTTTGGGTTGTTCTGTTTTTTTGCAGACATGCCATGGCAGCATGACATCTTGACATGCCAAGTCATCAGCTACATAAGCTATTTTATGCAGGTGATGCATAAAATAGCATCACCTAAAGTAAAACATGCAGTTTGTTCTGAAAGCCACTCGGCACTGATGGGTTTCTTGATGTTTGGACATCGACCAATAAAATGATTAGATCTGACCTTTAGTCTGAACGATGCTGTTCACTTTAATCCATGCAATGATGATTGGGAAAACTGAAGAGTAAAAATACTGCAGAGTCCAAAATGATTCCCGTTGCCTCGGGATCACATCATTTTCACATTTCTATTGTTTTCTCCTGTGGTTGAGTTGAATGCTGTTCTTCGGTGCAGTGATACTGGGTGAATGCAGGGAATTTGTTAGTTTCCGTTCCTGTCAACATTTGAATGTGTTGAGATTCTGCAGTACTTTTACAATATCCCTAAATGATTCAACTTTCTTTAAAGTGGCTCTTACAGTTTTGACAGGAGGTGCTTGTCAGCAACTAATCGTGTCGCTGAATGGATGTGAAATTAATCCACACTATACATTTTGTATCATTGTAACTTCATGCCCAAGCAGAGATTCCTTTGTTTTTTGTTTTGTTTTATGTTGGTGAGCTTTTGGATCAGGTGTTTGATTACATTTTGGAGACTTTAAATTTTTCCAGCTTGGCGCCGCTGCATGTGTGCATGTGAAGAAAGGTTTAAGGATTAAAACTTTGACAAAACGGCATGAGGAAATGTCGCAGTGTTAGTGATTACAAAGATGCAACCTAATCACTCATTTAACCAGTTTCATCACAACTCCTCACAAGCCAGGTTTAGCCGGACGCCTGTTTTCACCTGAAGATATGACGGCAAAACTAATTTTTCTGCTCTGTTAATTTTCATCGTTTGCTTTGTACAGCCCAACAAGATATTTTGGAAAGGATGTATCGGCAGCAAAGCTGAAGATGTACCACCCAGATTTCATCCGTTACCTCAGAAACAGGTGAGCTGGATGGATTTAAAACATGAGACCTGGGCGAGCTCCTGAATTTATTTGCCTGCTGGGTTACATAAAGCTATCTGACGCATGAGAACGTCTCCGATCCCTACAGAATAAAGTTATGCTAATTAAATTTTTAAAACGGCGGTTTTAGATGTTTGTGCAACAGGCTTATGATTTCTGGTTTCAGATTCCTTCGGTCGAACATCCTGAGAGGTCGATATAGGAGCATCTACCGTCCGTCGACTGGAGCTGCAATGCTGCTGGCCGCGCTGCACAGCTGCGACCAGGTAGGAGTCGTGTTCGCTCTGCTGAGCTTTGAATAGTTTTGTTTAATATGTTGTCGACCACATTTGAACCCTGATGGAAACACATATAGAAGAAACTCAAGTAGGTTTAACCTGATGGAAAAACTGCAGAGGAAACTAAAAATCAGGGCAATCCATCAAATTGAGCAGCAGCAGCACAACATAAAGAAAACAGACTTTTTATTTTATTGTGTAGAACTTTACATTTTATTTGTTATATGAAATGCATGTACAGGACATCAACTGTGAAATGAAAGCTTGGTTAGAAATGCGTTGTACATTTCTGGCCCATGTAATTATGGTGTGGCCGTTACAAAGTTGTGATCTCAGTCCTTACAAAATGTCTGAGTGGAGCTGAAAGTGTGTGTGTCTATGAGAAGCTTACACACTGACCCAGTTACACCGGTTCTGATGGGAGGAATGGGCCAGAATTCCAGCAAGTGCTGTGAGAAGTTAAGTAAAGGCCTTATGAATCTAAAAGGAGGAGAAGACAAAATTGTCTTCACTCTTGCATTTAACAAGTGGAGATGAATTTGGGCCATTCTGACCTAAAATAGAAAATGTTGCTCTTTCTCTGCGATTCTTCTCAGCTGGTCCTGCAGAAATTCCTCCCACTTCATTCTTATTTTTCATCTTGTTCTTTTGTTTTTTTCTGGAGGTGAGCGCCTACGGCTTCATGACGCCAGACTACAGCAAATACTCGGACCACTACTATGACAAAACCTATCGCAAGGTGGGCTTCTTCGCCAACCATGACATGCGTATGGAGATGACGGTGTGGCAGCAGCTGCATAAGGCTGGACTCGTTACTCTTTACATGCGCAATGAAACGGACCTCAACTGATGTCGCACTTCCTGCAACGTGACGCGAGTTTTCCTGTCGATGAAGAACGGTAAATTCTTGTTTCTTCAAACAACTGTTTGGGTTGTTCCTGGGAAAGATGAAGATTTACTTAAACATTTCTTTAGAAGGATTTATTTCTCTTGGGAGGTTTGAGTTGAGTGTCTGTGGCTCCCCAAAGAATTTTTTTGTTTCTCAATTATCACAATTATGTAGAATCGTAATTTAAGAAAAGGGTGACAGTATTTTTATACGAACAAGACCAAAAGTATGGATTTCTGAGCCTTAAAGAAAATCCACTGGAGTAGCAGAAGTTAGTTCTTTGAAATTTGCTGCTTGTACATTACTGACCTCGAGATTCACCATCCTGGTATTGACCATTCTGGTAATAAATGCATCAGTTCCTATTTCATGCTGTCACAAACATACTTGGTGAAAATCTGTTTACAGTTTGAATATTCTGACTCCACAGATTGCAATCTTTGATTTTTGAGAAGATTTGAACTTGTAAAGTGGTTCAGCTTTAGCCTTCCTGCCAACTTTCAATCATTTCTACCAGGAGCAAAGGCGATGTGTGTGTGTGTGTGTGAGCGCTTGGTTATAATGATTTCAAATGGAAATAAACTGACATGATGTTTATATTTGAAACAATATGCAAAATCACGTTAACTAACTGCTGTATTTTGCTCAGCCTTCTTGTTACCCTCCGGAAGTTTTTCTCTCTCTCATGCATCCTGAATGAGCTGCAGCCAAGTCTTGTCATGTTGTTGAAAATGATCTCTAAAACATGTGATTTCTCTCACGCCATTGAAATACCTCACTGATGCTGAAAATGACCAACTTTAAGTCGTCTTCAGAGTTTATGGTATCTTTGTTGTTGCCAGGGAACAACAAAGCAATTCTTGGTTCCCTACAATATTCCTGATTGTAGAAATAACTATCCTTGAATTTCCAGCCCAAAATTGTAGTCGCATCACCGACTGACGTCTTTAATTATAGTGTCTGTGAGCATAAAGACAGCCTGAGGTGCTATTGCGCTTTATTGCTAACAATGGCTTCAGGTAGCATTTCCATCCCTGCTCCTCAAGGAACACTACTCCACATGTTTTAGATGTTTAATACATTTGAATCAGATGTTCAGCGACAGCCTGTAAACCAGCTTTCCATTCAAATCAGGAATCCTGAAGCAGAATGATGTCTAAAACATGCAGGACTGTCTGCCTTTCTGATCAGGGTTGGAGAAAAACTAGCATGGCTAACGTCTGAGCTAACGGGCGCCTCTAAATCCGTACAATATGAAATTAACTTTGTGGCATCATTCTGAAGTTTGAATCTTGACTTCTGAGCTCTGACCATCGACACAGTAATGCTGGCATGCTAACGTTTGCAAGTACCTCCGATTGATCCGTTTTATTGCATTAAACTTTTCAGTTCAGCCTCAGGTTTTGTCAGCAGCCACTGAGCCACACTAACCAGTCTGGGATCCTTTTCTGCAGGAGGTCATGGTACAAAGTGCTAAAGATAAACGCATGAATGAAGCTGGTGTCTACATATGATGAAATCTGCAATCATAATTGTTTTGGTGATAAACGTACCATTAAAAAGTGATGCGCATAGAGGATCACTTAGAAAACCCAAGATTAGTTTCCAGGATGCTAAAACTCTTAGTCAAGTATAAAATTTGTTGCACTTCTTCAAGTGATGAGTAAATTTCCCTCAAAACTGTAACATGCTGAGGAGTAGATGCAGTTCCTTCAAGGCGGTTTGCTTTTTTTTTTTTTTTTAAATACAATAGCTTTTTTTTTTCTCTTAGCGCAACAAGGACTGTAAACTTTCACCAAAGATCTATCTTGTTATTCCCTTTTTTAGAGCCATAAATCGCAGCAAACATGTTGCCTGAAGGACTCTAGAACGTCACAAAATGTGTCTGCCATAAAGTTTAAGGATCCAGCTCTGTTTATCACTTTAACGGCTCTCGTCTGCGGCCAAAGTTTACTCTGTCTCTATCTCTGTCACTCCTTTTACTGTGGACTGCCTCCAAGTGTAACTTCAAAGCTCGTTTTGATTATTGTATAAATATGAAAGGATTTATATATTTAACTTGTAATGTTTTGTTTTAACACGTTGCCACTTTGATTTTAAACACTTTGTGTGCCTTTAATGAGAAGCAGCATTTTGGGTTGAGATAATTTTATTTTTATTTCTTGTGGGGGGGTTTCTACAGAGACAGGAAGCTGTTTAAGTTTGTATTATGTTTGGAAGGTGGGGGTAACGGGTTGTTCACACTCCCCTCTGAGCCATGATGAGGGTCAAATGTCAAACCATCCTGTGTGTTGCCTCATCCTGAACGACAAACTAAAAGTTGCATTTTTCCTATAGTTTTGACACTATGGGGTTTTTTTTGTTTTGGGTTTTTTTTCCAAGTGGAAGAAACATTTTGTATTATAAGCTTCATTCAAATAAAGGGGTTTGATTCTCTAAACCTGTCTATTTTTCTAGACTGTAGCTATGCAAAGGGACTTTTATGGTACAATTTCTCTGTATTTTTCGCCCAATAAAACTGTATTAAACCAGCTTTTGTGGATTTTTTTTTTTTTTTTTTTTTTTTTCTGAAATCTTTCACACTCCCAACCTCTGTGGTGTTTTTTTATTTCCCCCAACAGAACATGGAGAAGATTCTCTGGAAAATATTGAATGAAAATAAATGCCACTCAGCTGACACAGTTTTGCTTCCTTTTGTTTTTTTTCTGGCTGTTATTTATATCTGCAGAGCTGTTATGAACATGTTAAATGAAACGAGACGTGAACTTACTGTAATCTGGACTGAAGAGTTTATTGATCATCTATCAGCGTTTGAAGATTGTGTTCAACTGGGTTTTGACTCCACCTCTGTTTTCTTTATCATAACTCTTTAAGTCTTGGATATAAAATAAAAATCCCCGGTGAGGTGGACAGTAATAATCTGTAGGGCCTTGAGCCTTCAGCAGGAAGCAGAACATGAAGCCAGATGCGTTTGGTGCCATGTGGTCGGATGCGTTTGAGGTCATGAGTCAGACTTTACATTGCTGCCAACATGTCTGCCACCACAAGGCTGCATTTACAGAAAGCCGTGGCCATCTGATGTTTTTACACCATTAAGCTTTTAGAAAAGTGACACTGGAGTCATCTTAGGGTAATCAACAGGTTCCTGTTTACTGTAATATTCATTAGTCAACTGGAGTGTTTCAGGCACCACCCATCCAATAAGCAGGAACATCATCATCCTGTTGACTGGCAAGGAATCTTTCCAGCACAAAAATGAGATCTTTGTTTTGGCTCGCACCATGAATGTTGGAGAGTAAACAGGAACCCAAGAAATAAGAGGAAAACTATTTGTTTAAATGAGGTAAATTATTTGGTGTGTGGAAAAGTTGGTTGAATAGGTTAATTTTAGATTTATTGCTGTTTGGAAAACATAAGTTGAACTGCGTGATTTATATAAATATAAACGCAGATTACTGCATTTTGTTGTGGAAGTAAAAGTGACTGTTTCAGCTTCCTGGTTCAAAACCCTGCAGAAAACGTTCCTCTGCTGCCTCCCAGTGGTGGTAACGACTTACTGCAGCACGGCTCTCTGCGCTTCTGCTTCCTTAATCATTTAAATCAGTTCAATTTATCATTACAGCACCGATTTATAATCTCATCTCAACACTTTTCAGTTTATATACATATGGAGAAAAATATCAATCGAATAATATTTTATTCGATTTGGTTCGACCCTGATGAGAATCTGAATGCTGTGTAACTTTAATGTTCTTCAGATCTCTGAACGTTCATGTTCTACATTTTCACATCCGGGTCTTTAGTCATGATGTTCAGCTCCAGGATCCCTCCTTCAGCCCCTGGTGCAGGGTTTCATTCACCACCAGGTGGCAGCAGAGAGCTAGAATCAAAGATGCAGGTCTTACTCGTTTCAAGTCTCTTGAGCATCTTTTGTTTGTTCCCCTGTTGCTGCACAGCTAAATATGTGCAGCAATCTGCTGACAGACAGGCTTTCACTCATGTTCTAGTGAATTTGTCTTTGCTGATTTGTAATTGGGAGCGAACTGGACTCCATGTGACATGTTCAGCTTTATGATGATTCTATTAAGGGAGATTAATGAAATATGCTTGTCTTAGCAAATCTGACTTCCTTGCACTATGAAAAAAAAATCTGCATTAGGAGTTTAGGTTAAGATGAATATTCATTTTCTAGTAAAAGCGCTGAAATGCTATGTATGTATAGTGCCATTTTATTTTACAAGTAACTGTTGGATTACATAAAATAAAATTGACTCCCCAATTTAATGCTTTCAAATTGGGCCGCTGTTTCTTTAAGAAGCTCCTGCTTTTTCCAACACTCGGCCTTCCTCGCGTCACGCCAAGAAAATAAATGAAGTTTTATTTTTTCTTAGCGTGACCCAAATACACCATCATAGAAACTTGCATTAAAAAAAAGTTGGGCGAATTTAATAAAAAAAAAAATCTAATGTAGTTTTTTTTTTTTAAACACTTTACAAAAGCACAAATGCTACTCATTATGCCGTTTTCTACTGTTCTGTGATGGTTATTGCATAATGAGCTCAACAGACTTGCAGTTCCATCATTTGCTTGGTAATTGCTGCTGCCACTAGTCTGAAGGAGCCGAGTGAGGACGGTGAATGGATTTCTCGAGCATGCACAAATGACTCAAAGAAACACTCCAGGTGTGTTTTTTGATGAGGGAACAACATGAACCTTTACACCATTATGTGAACAGATCAGAGGAGAGAATAAAAACAGCTTGCTTGAACAGCCAGGACCCGTTTAAAGCTGCCCTGTCTTGTTGTTTGTCTCCCTCCCTGTCGGTGGAGACAGATGGCTGTCCTTCCTGAGGCTGTTTCCACTGCAGGTCTCATCCTGGGGAAAGTCCTGCTGAGCAAAACTGTTGAAATGACCTTCCAGATGTTTCATCCCGACATCCATAACCTGCTCTGCCTCCAGTTGGTCTTGTGAGACATCAGTTCACCCGCTCTGTCTCACAGGGCTGCTGTGGTGGCGTGAATGCTGGGGGAAGCGTCCATCTTCCCTCAGAGCTCGTTCAGCAGAACACAGAATGATGTTTCATAACTTTGTCGCTACAGTTCCTGCCAGCAGCCGAACGTTGATGGCCTGAAACCTGCAGCAGTCGGTTCTCTGCGTGCACAAATGGTGAAGCTTCACCACAATCCTCTGCTTCACTGCAGTCGGCTGCTGAACGCACCACAATCACTGCCTGCTGCACAAATCCTGCCTGAACGCAGAAACCAAGCAGATGTATCTCAATGTTCATAGGAATCTGCAGCACTTTCACGTACACATTGTTTATTAATCACAATTAAAGACGGTTTAAGGAATGTGTGATGGTCGAAGTAAATATTTGGGTTTTTTTTAATCCTGCCAACAGTGAGGCGTTGCTCTGCTAGCTCTGCCTTTGAACAGCTTCCTTCATCTGCATGGAAACGAAGATTGATTATTTTTTATGAAACTGTGATGACTGAGATATCTAGGGAAGGAATCTGAATAATTAATCTTTACATTCATTACCGTGCAAAAGTTTTAATCTCCACTCATTTCCTGTCGGTCTAACTTCCCTTTAATCTGTTTTTTTTTTCTCATTCATCTGAATGTCTTCAGTTTGCTTCTCCTTCCACTGAGTTTTCCATACATGTTTTAACTCTGACCTTTGTTCTTTAAATGTCCTGTTTTACGGCTAAGCTATCATAGATGCAGTTTGCTCCATTTTTTTATTCTGAATCTGAAAAAAACGCCAAAGATTGACTGGAAATAAGATTCTTGCTCTAACACGTTGAGCTGCTGGCTGAAAAATAATTAAATCAGAAGCAATTTAGTCACTTCCGTATTTTACACTTTTATTAAAAGCAACAAAAAGGACACCTTTATTATAAACATTTCTGCTAAACCTTTCAGAAAACAAAATCACATAAACTTGTACCAAACTGTTATACTGGCACACAGAAATATACCAATGGTTTATTTTAGGAAGAAATAATACAACATGTCAACCTTTTCTCTAATGAAGGCCAACAGTTGGATATTCGCTCACATGAGGGACAATTACAGCGTTATTCTCTGAAACGTAGCCGCAGATTCAGTGACCCGTTTTACGCATCGTTCCTTCTGACCATCAGTAATACAGTGAGACGCATCTGTTTACTGCCATTTGTAGAAACTATGAATAAACCATTACATTTTGTAACACTTTCAAACAAAAATACATAGTGTTGGAATTGACAACCGTATTTTTTTTTATTGCAGGTAAATAATTTCTGCTGCAGAAGGTTATGTTTGTCAGAGGGCAAGACGGCAGCAATTTAATTTACAGACATTTCTCTGAATTTTTGTCAAAGTGTAAGTAAAACCCTGCCCAGGGGTATTTTAATGCAATTACATGTTTTATTTAAATGCTTCTAGCTGAAGACTAATAGCTTTTTATGTTCTTCACCGCAGAGCAGTAAACAAATCAGTACTTAGGTCAGATTCTTTACAGTACTATGTCAGCTGATTTTATTTCTAAATGTTTTTCACAATAAGCATTCCTCCAAGGCAAGTTCTACTAATATGTTAAATTAAGCAGATTATGAAGTCTTGAATAAACAATTTGTCCTTTATTTCAATGCAAATGTTGCTCCTGTTCAAAAGTTTTCCTTGCTAACTTTGTAATTCCTACTTCATACATCATTGATTTCTTCCCTTTGGTCTCAACTTATACTAAGAATAAAGGACTTAAGGAAGATGCGGAAAAATGCTAATTGGGTTAAATAGATCAGTGGATTTAGTGAGCAGCTGTTAGATTTGGCGGACGATGTTGGGCAGGAGAGTTTCCAGATGAATGGAAACACTAAAATTACTCAAAACATTGTAATATTTATTATTATTAATAATGTAAATATACAGCTCTGGCCAGGACATGACCCTCGTACAATATAAACATATTCCTAAAGAAAATAATTAATTTTATCTTGTGTGGAGCCTCATGTGTGTCTTTAAATTACACTGCTGTGTAAATCTGGCGCCACACAGAGTACAGGAGTGTGGTTTCTCTCCCGTGTGAACGACTTTGTGTCTTGTCAGTGTGCTCTTTTGCCTAAACGTTTTCCCGCAAACGTCACACTCGAACGGCTTCTCTCCCGTGTGGACCAGGATGTGACTCTTCACGGCTCCCGGCTCGGCAAACGTGTCCCCGCAAATCTCACAGGAGAAGGGCCGCACCCCTGTGTGGACCTTGGTGTGTCGCTTGAGATGCGACTTGCAACTGAATGTCTTCCCGCACTCGTCGCAGCTGAAGGGCTTTTCTCCTGTGTGAACTCGCAGGTGTCTCTTTAAATTGCACTGAAGTCGAAATTTTTTCCCACAAACCTCACAGGGAAACGGCAGCTCTCCAGTGTGGACCCGGATGTGCTCTTGGTAATGCATCTTGTGACGAAAATCTTTGCCGCAGATTTCACAGCTGAACGGCCTCTCTCCTGTGTGCACTCTCATGTGGGTCTCGAAATGCGTCTTGCGAGAAAATTTTCTGCCACAGACGCCGCAAACGAAAGGTTTCTCTCCGGTGTGGACCCTCATGTGCGCCTGCAGAATCCCCTGATTCCTGAACCTCTCGCCACAGAAGTCGCATATGAACGGCCTCTCTCCGGTGTGGATTCGCTTGTGGTTGCGCAGATTCCCTCGCTGGTTAAATCTTTTGCCACAAACGTCACACCTGAATGGTTTCTCCCCTGTGTGGACTCTCTTGTGCGTAGTAAGATTAGTCCTCTGGTTAAATTCATGCCCACAGACGTCACAAATGAACACCCTCTCTTTCTTCCTGACTGCTGGGTCTGAATCTGCGTTTTCCTGCCCACTGCAGAGGTTTGTGTTACCTGAGCTGGATGAATGACACTTCATGTGTCTATGGAGGGACTGCTTGTAGAAATATTGTTTATCACACTCGAAGCAGCTGTACAGGGCCTTGACTGTGTCGTCCGAATCGGGTGTCCTGCTCTCTCTGTGCTTCATTTCTGCTCCAAAATCTGGTAGCGGTTCCTGCCAGTGATTGTCCTCATCACTGACTTCAGTTTCTGAAGAGTCCGAAGCTTTTGCAGCAGGTTTCATCCTAAAGTAGTTGCTGAGTCCCGGCTTTACCGTCAATTCTGGCCCCTCGTCGGGTTCTGTTTTTATAAACTCAACAGAACTTAGAGGTTTTGACTCTCTGTTATGTTCAGTTTCCCTGAGATACAGATGTGAAGACTGATATTCCTCTTCTTCCTCTTCCTCTTCTTCATTTTCACTCTTCACAATAACATTTAATGGGAAACTGACGAGATCCTCCTCTCCATAAAGCTGCTCTCCCTCCTCATTGGTCCAGGATTCCTCATTTTCCTCCTTTATGTGGAACAGCTCTGGGTCCTGCTCGTCCTCACTGGAGCTCCACTCAAAGGGACACTCTTCTTTAATCACCAACAGCTGCGCATCATCTGCAGGAAGCAGAAATTAAATTTGTGGATAAATCAGTTGGAAGGATGCCCTTGGAAAAGTACCCTTTGTTACAGTTGTTTGATTTTATGTAATATTCCTGCTAGATTTTCTTGTCAAACAATTTTATTGAGGGATCGGACATGAAAACTAAAACGTCAACAATACAAATCTGTCCTCTTTTTTTCTTATGTGAACATAAAACAGAAGAAAGACGATGCAACTACTATTTGTAACGAGCCAGCAGGAAGTCAAGTGGACCAAAAGGCCGGTTCCGGTCCACAAAGTAGGCGCCCTTTTTCTGTCCTATTATGTCAGTTCTGGTGTGCAGAGTGAATGGATAAAACATTGTTTGTCATACGTCTATGACCTGAAAAGGGCATTTGTCTCACAAGCCCCAGTCGGATGCTGCAGATGCTCTCTTTCTCTTTTCATACTGAAACCGACAGCCGATGTTTCTTTCCTGTTAAAAAGGGAGAAGTTCCTATTTAATGTTGCCACACAGTGAGGGATTACTGCTAATGACTTTATGCAGTGTATCAGGATTTTGTGAAACAAATAACGTTTTATTTTTTAGAGAGTTGTCTTAGCAAGCTGATTGCATCAGCTCTGCAGCAGCAAGCTCTCATCCTGAGCAAGCATGTGGCAGCAGTGAAAAGAAATCACTCCCTGTTAGCAGTGAGAAACCTGCAGCAGAGCCAGCAGGCTCAGCGTGAACGGGCCATCTGCTGCAACCGGCTGGAGGCTGTGAGACGACAGAAACGCACACAGGAAACACCAAAGCTTTGGGCCTGGTCTGCTTTTAATGGAGAGAAAAACATGGAGGACGTGAAGAGTTAGGACAGAAATCTGAAAAGCAAAAACAGCTTAATGTTTAATACTAAAAATGTGGGGGATGAGGGGTTCACTTATGCAGGTGAGGAAAACAATCCTGCACATTTTTGCAGAATCGTACAAACAGAATTTCCTCACGCTCAATTCCAGAAAATAGCGAAGGCTCAGGTTTGAGTCGTATTGTTGAAGACGGCTACTAAATATATTAAACAGAAGAAATTGCTGGTGTAGTAAAAAGTGTTCAAATCTTTTTGTGAGCTGAATGTGTTCAATGTTGGTGAAATTATTAAATAAAAATGGTTCTTAAAACTACATTTCATTAGTCCTAACTTGTATGAAATAAGAAGAGCTTGATTTAATGTGACAGATGAAAAAAGAAGTTATAAACGCAAGCATATGGTTCCAGTTGTAGCAAAATAAATGTTTATGCAGCACATTTATTTTACAATTTCTATCTCAATTTCAGAATTGCAATGTTTATAATCATGATAAACACAGTCCACAGTAAATATGACCTGACTACTACACAATAAAATTAGTCCACATCATAAAAAACACTATTACAGGTGAAATACATTGTAACCAGTGAAAAGGCAGAAAATTCCTCACAGATGTTTTTTTTTTCTTTTTAAAAGTCTAAATTTATTTTTAGACTTTTTAATTTCTAACATACACACACATCACTTTGATATTGAGCCATTTTAATTGTCGCTCACATTAAAAACATATGAAAACTCAACCTGAATGAATCGAGCCTGAATGAATCGCTGGTCACCTGTTCATTGGAAAACCGGATTATTTCGAATTAAACAGGAAAACTCCAAATCTAATCTGGGTGTCGGTGTTGGATGTTGACCAAAGGAAATAGGATTTAAGTATTTCTGAGTTCCGGCGCCGTTTCCTGTGTTTGGTTTGCAGTTTGGCTCATTTTTAGCGAGACTAAGTGACGCAAAGCTCAACGGCTGCAGTGGTACTGAGGTAAATAACACGATTTAAATCAAAAATAAAGAAACGGAGCCCCGTTTTCCTCGACAACAGAGCTGCAGCTAGCTAACAGCGACACACTAGTCTTTTCTTACCAGCTGTTTGGTTTCTAACAACATCCTGATGGACGCCGAGCCGCTTCATCCGGACCGTGTCCTCTGCAGCCGGACTTCTGCTCTGGTCATCATCCACTTCCTTCATGGCCTCTGAAACGAACCGGGCCGATTAGCTCACACTACAGCCGGGAGCGTTTCTGCTCGGCTCCATGCGAGGTTCCGCTGGGGGATTTCAAGAGGCGGATGCGCTCGGAAAGACTGCAGTCAGATCTTAACCCCCCCGACTGTCTGTTTAGGAACGACTGCGGACGTAACGACAGAGTTTTAAACAGGCATCGGCACGGACAGCCTGTCCCAAGGACCACTTCCCACAACTGTCAAAGATTACATCGATATGTATTGAGGTACAAATAAGGACAGAAAATGCAAAAAACGAGGAGAACACGAAACAATGTAATTAAATTAAATTGTATTACACATAAAATAACTGACTTAAATAGTTATTTTGGCTTACAACACCTGTAAGTCTTTTTAATGCAGAAAGTCGAGCTGTTAGAAAGTTTATTTGTATTTACTTGATGAAATGAAAAAAATGTTATTTTTTTTACTGATGAATAAATCAATTTTTTTGAGCTGAAGTTGATTTATTTGCAAAGAAGGATAGATGAAGAAGATCCTTCAACATGACAAAGCGGTTCTATGTGCAAACATGTCATGATTTCTTAAAATCGTGACTACTTTATTTTTACTTCACAACTGTGTTGGTCTGTCTCACAAAAATACAAAATCATCAACAAAATACATCACAAAACGTGACAAAGTTTAAAAAAAACATTCATTCTTTACTACCTTAAAGAGTTTGATTATTAATGAACCACAACTGCCAAAACTTCTCATTTTGTTCTGGTCTTACAATAAAACCAGTCTATTCTCTGATGTTACAGAGATCAATTCACTCCAGCTGATGGCAGCAGTGAAACAGGAGGCAACATAAAGCGTGCCCGAGCAGATGCCTGATTGAAATACGAGAGACGTAAACAAAAGACACGGAGACTCATTCGTTTGAGACTGAAGTGGATTCAGTCCAACAGAAACGTGCGCAGCTGAGGTACGGCCGCGTGGCTCTGGTTTGCGAGTCTCCAGTGTGTTATGCAAAGAGCAGACACCATGGAGAAAGTGGATGATGCTCATCGGGATATTCTGCCTTTAGAGGACAAACTGCGGGTGATAGAGCTCAGTGTCCATCAGCAGCAAGAAGCTGGAAAAATCCGAACAACTGGTAAGAAGAAGCTCTGCTAGGATACAATGTAACGAAGCGAGGGTGATTTTTTTTTTCTGGTTTTTGATCGGTAATCCATTATCCGCTATAGAGATACGTCAACAAATCCGCCATATTGGAAGGGGAAGCATTATTTTGGCTACAGAATTTTGAAGATTCTCCAGGGAAACAAAGATAACATTTTTTTAAAAAAAAAATCTGTAATTATATGTGTTATGAGGCTAAAGCTGTGGTGTATTAAACACAATATACATATAATACAGGGTAAGAAAGAAAGCATACAGAATTGGTCAGATAGTAAGTCTTGTTTTTTTTTATTTGTGTTTTGTCTGTGTAGCTTTGTGTAACAGTATTGTAGATCTGGTTACCTTGGTGTTTTTGTGACAGATCTACTCTGCCTGTTGACTCAATGGTACGACAAGCCACATCTGCTTCATCAAGCAAATAGGGCAGACTGCGACTTGCAAGGCACGACAAAGATGACAAAAGAAGATTAAGGCAATAAGAGGAGGGGCTTTTTTTTATCCATTTACAGTCAGGCCATGTGTGGAAAAACTCATGGGTTTCTGTGGAGTCCTACTGAATGAGATTCAGTTAACCATGATGTTCATGTGTCTCCTGCAGATAAGCAGCATCTTTTGGTGATCGAAAAAGAGGCTTTTGTTCTGCAGAACCCCGGTTTGGACCAGCAGGGCCCAGAACTCCAGCATATAAAAAAGGAAGAGGAGGAACTGTCGGTCAGTGAAGACAGAGAGCAGCTCACTGTGAAGATTGTAGATGATGAGACCCTTAAGGTATCAGAGCTCTGCCATGTACAAACTGAAGGCAGCAAAGAGACTCGAGCTCCAACAAGCAGCCCGGCAAAACAAATGGAAACCGGACCTGATGGAAAGGACAGTGGAGGAGCAGAACGAGACAAAAACCCAGAACCAACTGGATTCTGGACTGAACAGCAGGAGGTCCAGATGAAATATGGTAATTATCAGGTTCTGCTCTGTTTGCATATATTTCTCTCATCATTAAGATGGAATGCATTTGTTGTAGCATCAAACATAAAACTAACACACTGATAGTAAGATATAAATATTAATACATATACAGATTGCCTTGTAGACAACTGAAGGAGGGGCAAAGGTCATGTCTAAATTGCAGGCAGCAAAGGGTCAAAATATTTTATTATCTGGATCTGTATAATTACAAAAGTCTCATTGAAATATGACTTTTTTGTTTCTCTTGCAGATGAGCAAGAACTGTTGGTAATCAAAATAGAAGTTCCTGATCCACAGAGGTCCAGTTTAGACCAGCAAGACACAGAACCACTCCAGAAGACAACACAAGAGGAACTGTGGATCAGTCAGGATGAAGAGGATCTTGCTTTGATGAGTGAAGATGAAGAGAAATCTCAGTCATCAGAGCTTCATCTCTTCAAAAGTGAAGACAGCAGAGATGCAGAAGCTTCAACCAGCAGCTCAGCTGAACAGACAGAAACAGAACCTGATGGAGAGGAGGCTGGAGGACCACAGCCAGACAGGAATTCAGATCCACATGCTTGTTCACAGTCCAGTCCTTCAGGCTCTTCAGAGGCTGAAGTCAGTAGGAAGTGGGGGTCAGGAGTGAGCGGAGACGGTTGTGATGACAATTTACCAGATTCTGGATCTAAAAATAAAGACTGGTGGGAAATCAGGACACTTAAGTCAGACGTAAACAGCAGCTCTGAATGTAGAAGTGCTGTGAAACCCTTCAGCTGCCCTGACTGTGCTAAACAGTTTGTGTACCAGCAGTCATTCCTGAAGCATCTGTCATGTCATTCAGGAGAAAAGGCTTCCACTTGTTTGGCCTATATGAAACAATCAATAGCCAAAGCTGGGAAGAAATCAGTTGCTTGTGTTGTTTGTGGGAAAATGTTTAAGGATCAGTATTACCTTAAATGTCATATGAGGCTCCACACAGGAGAGAAACCATTTAATTGTGATGTTTGCGGAAAAGCGTTTAGGCATTCTCATATTCTTAAACTTCACTTAAGAGTCCACACTGGAGAAAAACCTTTTACTTGTGATGAATGCGGTAAAACATTTACCAAGATGCAAAATCTGAAAGGTCACATGACGTGCCACATAGGGGAGAAGCCTTTCCAGTGTGAGGAATGTGGCAAAAGATTTACACAAAGGGGAACGCTGAAGAACCACATGATGATTCATAAAGGAGAAAAACCTTTCGTTTGCAGTGGTTGTGACAAACGGTTCAGGCTTAAAGCGGATCTTCAGAAACACGTGGTAACCCACACCGGAGTGAAACCATTTTTCTGCCGTTACTGTGGAGCCAGATTTGCTCACCGGGGAGCTTTGACGAGACACATTAGACGTCACACAGGTGAGAAACCATTTGCTTGTGATAGGTGCGACAAAAGATTTTATCGAAGTTCTGAACTCAAGTATCATGTGTCGGTTCATACGAGAGACTGGAAACAAGACACTGAAAACAGAAAGTTTGCCTGTAAGGAATGCGAAAAAAAATATATCAGAAAGGTGCATCTTACAGCACACATGAGTACCCACTTAGGAGAAAAACCTTTCAGCTGCGGTGTTTGTAGTGCGAGTTTTACACGCCATGATAGTCTGAAGAGACATACAATGAGAGCCCACTGTCAATAGAAACTGCTTGTTCTGCCAATCTACATCTACATTGGTGTAAATGCTGCTAGATGGTCAGCGTAACTTCATAGATGGTAAGTTTACCAATATAATTAAGTTATTGGCATTATCTACATGAGGCCCCTTGCTAAAACAGGAAGACAATGTTACATAAACTGTTTAATGACCTGACAGTGTCTATGTTGTCATGATATAAATAGCTACAAACCGCATCTGAAACAAATGTTTCAGCAAGTCTTTTTTTATCAAAGGTTTTAAATTCTGTAGTTTTGCTAAATACTAACATGCTCATGTTTGTAATATAAAAGAATGTTTTGTCATATTTGTTGGATAGCTTTTGTACTGTATGAAAAAGCCACAAAAAAACTGTTTATCTTTAAGAAAGCCTAACAAAAATAAAGACTCAAAAGCATTGCCCCTTAAAGTTGATTTATTTTAAAAGTTTATCAGATTAGTTTGCGGTTTAAAAATAACAAATTTCCCACAGTAGATATTCGTCAAAAATTTGCCAATTTTTCAAAAGGTTCGGGTAGGGGTTTAGAGATTTTCTCTAAACAAATGTGTTTTTAGCTGCATTAACTGCAAAGGTGGCAAATCCCTGGATTGTGAACTGTATGCTGAAGTCCAACAGAGGGCAGCAGAGCGGCAGTTACTGCCTGCTGTCCGTGCAGATGCCTGCTCAGAAATAACAAAGAAAAACACGTAAAGGCTTCGCTTTTCATATTTATGGATGTAGTCTGACAATTATCAGTCTGGTTCGTGTCACAGAGCGCAGACATCATGAAGGAAGCGGATCATGTTCATCACATCGACTTTGAAGGTCTGCCTTTGGAGGGCAAACTGCGGATGAAACAGCAGGATGCTGGCGCAAAGCGAACAGCTGGTAAGAACTGAGATTTTAGCTAAAGGTGGGTTGTTATCCATTTGTACTGGTTTGGAAAAATCAAACCTCTCTAAAGTCAGACTGGGAAAATCAAAGCTCTCTAAAGTCAGACTGGGAAAATGTGCGTCCTCCGGTAAATCCATATTCAGTGTGGCTGCGGCGCATCTCAAAACTGCTATGAAAGCAGCAGAAATGAACCATTTCTTTGCTCTTCTGACGAGTTATAGCACATTATTACAATCTGTGCACATGGTAGTTGACAGAGTGAATGCGCAGAATAGCCAGGAATACGTTGTTAACGTCAAGCAGCCCAGCTGTATAAAACAAACATTGAAAGCCCAACGGGAGACACTAAGGCTGCGCACTGCGCTCCTTCTGTCCGTCTCCCAGGTCATAGGTCATAGGGCGTCACAGGCCGCATCACCAGGGTTAATTACCACCAATCATGACCTGGCATAATTATGTTTATCCTGTCCAACTAATTCAGTAAACTAGCTCCTGTTTCCTGAGGTAAACGTGTCGAAATTTGTGGAATAATTAGCCAGAATGAGGAACATTGAAGGTGGAATATTCTTTCTCTGTAATTTGGATCAGAGCTGCATATTATAAATAATAATTGTGAAAAACTAAGACGCTTACAACTTGTGTGCATTGTTGTTGTTGTGCACATTCATACGTCCGTTAAGAACGGAGTCGTTTAATATTTTGAAAAACAAGCAAAATCTAGGTTGGTAAGTCTGTTAGACTCAAAGACATGAATCAAAATGACTTTAAAATGACAAAATGTCAGACATTTTTTAACTAGATAAGACGGTTGTCTCTCTAAATTGCCCTAAGAGTGTATTGCCCTGCGATGAACTGGCGACCTCCACTCACTCAGCCATGGCGTCCATTTTTTCCTTGCAGACGAGGAGCAGCTGTTGGTGATAAAAGAAAAGATTCCTGAAGAAAGCCTAGAGATAAAGAAAGAAGAGGAAGAACTCTGCCCCAATGCTGACAGAGAGCTGATCAACGAGGAGGAGGAAGAGACTGAGGACAACAGCATGTTCCCCTTCACTGTTGTCACTGTGAAGCTTGAAGATAATCAAGAGAAACCTCAGTTATCAGATCTTCTTCACATTAAAACTGAAGACGGTATGGAGACGGAGGCTCCAAGCAGCAGCTCACCTGAACAGATGCAACAAAGTCCAGCAGGAGTTCAAGCGGGATGGAAGGAGATCCTGGGAAAACAGTGTTCGGATGGTGAGACCCTTCTCCCTTAAGTGGATGTTGATCTACTTAAGCAATCTGGAAAAGTCTGGAGACTATTCTCAAGGTCTGAATAAAATAGAAAACATAAAATGGATTGCAGTAAGATATTACAAAACTTTATTTCCAATCCTGTTATTTCCAAATGTTGTGAACCTCTTTCCTCATGTCCTTTCCTCTGTATTCATTTCCACTCTTCGGATGAGGAAGAAGAGTCTTTCCCTTCCTTGTGCTTCCTTCTCCCTGCTCTTCTTTCTTTGTTGGGACCACCATTTTTTTCTTCCTTGTGTATTGTTTCATCCTTTGTTGTGCTTTTCACTCTTTTCTTCCTTCCTTGTTTCATTTGTTTATTCCTTCCTCATATCCTTCCATATTTCCTTCAAACAGTCCTTCCTTATTCTTCTTCCTTCAATCCTTCACAGCCAGTAGAAAGGCTGTGAAGGATTTTCATCAACTAAATGAAACTCCAACACACTTTCATTCACCTCTTCTTGTGTTATTGTTTGTGCTGCTTAGACAGCTGACAGAAGAAACTGTTTTCTACATTTAACTTGAATGAAAGTTTTTATTTAATCTGTAATTTTGACTTCGGTGGAAAAGTAAAAGAGCCTGAATAAACATTTTTGGCTCCTCTGGCATTAAGCAGCAGCGATTTATGAAGCCGTATCACTTGTAGGATCTGTAATGCAGTTTGTCTCTTGCAGAGGACAAATGGAGGTTGGTGATTAAAGAAGAGGTTCCTGTTCTGTCCAGAACCAGTTTGGACCAGAAGTACCCAGAGCTCATCAAGATAAAGAAGGAAGAGGAGGAACTGTGGATCAGTCAGGAGGAAGAGCAGCTTACTGTGAAGAATGAAGATGAAGAGAAACTTCGGTTATCAGAGCTTCGGGAAATGAAAGCTGAAGTCAACAGAGAGGCTGAAACTTTAACCAGCAGTTCAGCTGAACAGATGGAAACAGAACCTGATGGAGAGGATGTTGGAGGACCAGAACCTTATGGGGTTTTTAACAGTATTTATGGAAAAACATTAAACAATGAGACTGCTGTTAAATTACACACAATAACTCACACTGGAAACAGAGAGCATGGCTCTGATCTTTGTGGTAAAGGATTTAAAGAAAAGGGTTACCTTCAGAGACATACGCAACTTCTGAATGAAGAGAGAATATTTGCCTGTGATGTTTGTGGGACGAGGTTTCAAAGACGCGAAACTCTTAAAAACCACATGAGGATCCACCCCACGGAGAGACAGTTTATCTGCAGTGTTTGTAGCAAAGTGTTTACAAGACAAGATCATCTAAAGAGTCACTTGCGTGTCCACACCGGAGAGAAACCGTTTAGTTGTAGTTTTTGTAGTAAAGGATTTTCACAGCAAATTCATCTGAAGAGTCACATGCGAGTCCACACGGGAGAGAAACCGTTCATTTGTGGTTTTTGTAGCAGAGGATTTTCACGACAGGATCTTCTAAAGAGTCACATGCGAGTTCACACGGGAGAGAAACCGTTTGTCTGCTGTGTTTGCAGCAGAGGATTTTCCCAACAGAATCACTTGAAAAACCACATGGGTTTTCACACGACATCGTTTAGCTGTAGCGACTGCGGCAAACGTTTTGTGAAGGAGGACCAGTTAAAACGACATGTGAGGCTCCACACAGAAGGGAGGCCGTTTGGTTGTGACGTCTGTAAAAGCAGGTTTTATAAAAGGTATCATCTTGAAAATCATATGAGGATCCATTCGGGAGAGAAACCGTTTGTGTGTGGAGTTTGCAGTAAAGCGTTTTCACGAGATGGAGATCTGAAGCGTCACATGGCTGCCCACGAGGGCTGCAACTAATGACTCAATAAATCTGTTTTCTGATTATTCTACCACTATTTTAACCCATCTCTGATCTTTTTCCGTGCAGTTTTTATTCCCAGGGGCGTTTGCATGTTTCACTTCACATCTTTAAAAATAACATGCTTGTTTTCTGTGTTTTTAGGTCTCACTTTAAATTTCATCGTACTGCTTGAAACTAAACCATGGTATTTTGCATTTAACATTAATAACTACTTTAACAGAAAAGAAACTGCAGAACTTCCTGATCAACCTCTCCAGCAGTTTCCTCTCAACTGTTGTCCGACATCTGGTCCAGCAGACCATATGACACAAAGAAATTTGACAAAATTGAAATCTGACGAAATTGAAGTTTCTTGCAATAAAAATAATGAACAATTAATGTGTTTTGTGTTTACTTCTGTCAATGTTCATGCCCTTCATCAAGTAGGGAGCGATAGTTTCCATAGCAAACTGTTCACACAAAAGGACAGTTTATAGTTGTTGAAAAGTACATTCATTGTTACAAACTGAGGATTGTCTGTGTTTTACAATGTCAGTGTTTGTCCTTCAGATACATCCAGGAATGTGAATGAAAAATCCTCATTCTGTGAGCAGGCAGAGAGAATATTTTGTGCAAAGGGCCAAGAGTTTAAAATGCTGGTGTTATGTTATGGTGGACATTGTGGTTGTTTTGGAGTAAATTTTGATTTCAGATGGAAGTGAGTTGGTTCTGTCCATGTCTCAGAGCTAATATCTGTAGGAACTTGATGTTGTAGGTCAGAGGGCGAGTCACGGAGGTAAATGAAGTGATGTAAGCGATGGAATGTTTGGGAACATGGCAGTGAGTTTCACCAAATTAGATTCAGATGGTTTTAATTCCAAGCGGGTTGGCCTGGTCTGCATCCCGATGAAAGCGGTAATTAAAGTCAGGTCTGGTCGAGTAGTGAGCAGTCATGTGTTCAGATGTCCCAAATGAACAAACTGGGTTTGAGTTTCGCATGTTGTTGCATTTAAAATCATTTTAAAAGTTCAGGCGTGAGTGCCTCTCTGTTCACTTTTATGTTCATAAACGTTCAACTAAAGAGGTACAGAAATGTGTTGATATCCTTTTTAACTTAAGTTCCATTAGTTTCAACTGTGGTAGAGCCATCTGCTCATTTTATATCAGTCCTACAGCTGGAGAAGGTTCCTCTCTGTTGTTTTAGTTTATAGTCGTTCTGATAAATAGCAGAAGTGGGTTTCAATTCCAATGCCTGTGTTGTAATTTCAGACCACATCTCAAGTGCATTCTATTGTTATTGAATTCCTGGGGAGTTGTTCCTTTTTAATGTTTGTTTACTGACTGGTTCGTGACAAACAGTAGCCTGCTCTGCTTTCAAGAAGAGAACAAAAGAGCTCTGACTGAGCTGCCTATAAGTGAAAACAGATGTCTGTGACATAGGCTTTACTTCTCTACCGTAAGAGGCTTTTGTTTAATACTTGATAGTTTGGCCTTCCAAAATAAAGCGTGATCGATTACAATGGTCTATATTAATTGACATTCAGTTTTTTGAGGGTTTTGAAAACATTTTCTTTGTTCTTTTTACTGGAAATCTGAGCGACTGACTGCTTGTAGGAGCGGGCTGACTCCAGCAGAGGGAGACACTTCCCAGGCATAGTTAGAGAGTGTTTGTGCAGATGCCTGATCAAAATCCAGCAGAGAGCCATCAATAAATTATTTCCAGACGGAGGCTGGGGCTCGGACGGCCTGTAACGACACCATAGATCCAGTCTGGTAGACATGTATCCGACTAGAATATGACCTGAAGTGCATGGCTCATTTTAAAGAGCGCAGAGACCATGAAGAAGGGGATTGTAATGGGTACTGAAAATCTGCCGTTAGAGGGAAAACTGTAGGAAAAACAACTCGTTGCCACTAACCGCAGGATGATGATGATGATGATGATGATGGAAACCCAACAGCTGGTAAGAACAAGCTCTGGCTTAATGAGGATATGACTGATTTTATTTAGGTTTGGCTTTTCTTCGGGTGGGCGCTTAATTAGCTGTTATTACGACACGTCAGCGCGACCGCCATGTTGGAAAGAAAATACGGGTTAATTAACTTTTCAGGTAAACGGAAAACAAGCTGTTTACACTGAACATAAATCAGTTTGGCTGCCACCTAAATAGTTTCATCACTCAAACATGTTGATTGGAGCCTTTAGCTGAGCTGGTCTTTGTTTCTTTTTGTCGTGACTGCTGGTGTGAAAAGCACTCAGAGGCATTAAAGAATTTTCAAAACCCAAAATAATTAAAAGCTTCGAGATTTCAGTGTGAGGAAAAACAGCGACATCTGGTGGTGAACTGGTAGTCCAGCAGTTGCTTAATAAAACAGCCACATTTTCTTATAATCAAACAGACTGTAGAAATGCCCTGGAAGTTTTACATTTTAAATTTACGTTCTAGATGAACATATTTTCACCAGTGGTTAGAAAATTAACTCCTACTTTCCAAAAATCACATATCAAGTAAATGGGGTCCTTTTTTATTATTATTTTTTTTTTTAAAGCACAGGTCCGAGATACTGTCAGTAATAGCTGATTATTTGATTGTAGGGTTCTGGACACAGACTGAAATTTTAAAAGATCCTGAAGATAAGGGGAAGCTAACCCATTTTAAACTTTATAAGTTATGAAAAGAATCTTAAAATCTATTTGATATAAGATGGGCAGCCAGTGTAAAGAGGCCAGAATAGGCCTTATTTGGTCACACGTCCTGGTTCATGTAAGAACCCGTGCTACTGTGTTCTGGATCACTTGAAGTCGCTGCATCTGCGATTTATCCATGCCTCTAAATAATGAATTGCAATAATTCAGTCGAGATGTAATGAAGACATGGATAAGTCCTTCAAAATCCTTACAACAAAAATAAGATTTAACTTTTTCTAAAACCCGTAAGCGATAAAAATTTGTTTTAACAACAGAACTAACTTGTAACTTGCAACAGTTGCTATTCTGTAAATTTAGTCCCAACATGTTTTGGAATTTTTTTCTGTTAATCTGAGAAAATATACTTTTTTTTTTGCTTATTTAGAATACGTTTTGTTTTGAAAAAGACAAAAGTGGAAATTTTACCTTAAAAAATCCACGTCATAAGGCCTTACATTTGTTTATGTCTGTACCAATGATTATTGTCTGTGGTTGATTCTGAATAGAAACTCTTTCTTGATGTGTCTCCCCTCAGACTGTGTGTAACACTGATGCCTGAACGTTGGGAGACTGAAGGCGGATTCACATCTCACCAGGAAAACATCTTAACGGCGCCGACCTTTACTTGAGGTATATTTAGAGATGTGGGCTAATTCAGAACACCAAGCTGGAAAAACACATCGATCAGAGATGGAATGCCGGGACTCAGAAACCCAATCCAGCTTTCTCCACCTTGCTAAGAAAGAGACTGAAGGTAAATCATTTTTCTTCCTAATTAAACTGGATGGATATTAATTAAACTTGTTTAAACCACCACTGCACCACTAACAGCTTTCTTCCGCATACTGTGATTAAGATCTGGGTGTCATTCACTATTGTTGGAAACCTAATTGGTCAAGTTAAATTACTAACTTGTGCACTAATGCAAGATTAATTAGTTTTGTTAAAATTGGCTCCTTAGTAAAAAAATTCAAAATTTGTATTTCATAGGCAGGTAAATTGTTCTACTGAGACCAACCACTGCCACAGGAAATAAGCAAACTAATCAGGGATGTGTGAATTATTTCATTATGGATTTTTATTTTTAAAGAAATTATAGATGTCCATGTGTGTTTCAGTGTTTCCTGGGCAGCAGTTGTGGGTGGTAAAAGAAGAGGTTCGCAGTAACTGGAGATCTAGTTTGGACCCGTTTGACTCAAAACCGCCCCACATGAAGGAAGAAGAGAAGCCTGCTGTGAAAAGTGAAAAAGAAGAAAAACCAAAGTTTTCAGATTGTAGCTGCATGAAAACTGAAGACAGGAGACGAGAACCTCTGACGCCCAACTTGGTCAAACAGATGGAAGCAGAACCTGATGAAGAGGGCTGTGGAAGACCAGAACCAGGCCCAAGACCCAGTTCAGTTGTCCCAGTCCAGCAAGTGTTGGGGATGAAACAAGAGGTTCCCCACAACATGAGCTCCTGTTTGAACCAGAAAGACCCAGAGCCCTCCCACATAAAGGAGGAAGATGATGACCTGTGGGTCGGTGAGGAGAGAGATCAACTTATTGTGAAGATTGTAGATGATGAGAAAATTGGTTCGTTATCAGAACTTCACTACGTCAAATCTGAGAGCAGAGAGACAGACACTCCAAACAAGATCTCAGCTGTACAGATAAAACAAGAACCTGATGGAGACTGTGAAAGTCCAAAACCAAGCAGGCCCCGTCGCTCCGCTACTTATCTGCAGTCAAAGAATAATGAAAATGCATCACATTCTTCTGATACTGAAAACAGTGGGGAGGACAACATCTCTGTGACGCATCAATCAGTTGACAAGCCTACCATCTCTTCAGGTGAGAAGAAGCGATCTAGAAAAAAGAAAAATGCTGACACTCCACTGGGAGCCAAAGCTGAAAAGAAATCGTATGCTTGTGAAGACTGTGGTAAAACATTTCCATATCAGTGTCATCTCAAGTCTCATAGGAGACTCCACACTGGAGAGAAACCATTTGCTTGTGCAGACTGTGGTAAAACTTTTTACCAACAATATCAACTTAATTGTCACATGACAGTCCACACAGGGGAGAAACCATTTGCTTGTGATTTTTGTGGTAAAACATTTCCTTATCAGTGTCATCTCAAATCTCACTTGAGATTGCATACTGGAGAGAGACCATATGCTTGTGGTAATTGTGGTAAAGCATTTACAGAGCTGAAGGATCTGAAAAGGCACATGAGATGCCACACAGGAGAGAAACCTTTTCAATGTGAGGTGTGCTATAAAAAGTTTAGCTTAAAGGGGGCTCTGAAGCGACACATGATGATTCATAATGGAGAAAAACCATTTGCATGCACTGATTGTGACAGACACTTCAGATTTAATGCTGATCTTCAAGCACACATGTTAACCCATTTAGGAGTAAAACCATTTGCCTGCGCTTATTGTAATGCAAAATTTACTCGAAAAGGAAGTCTGCTTCTGCATGTTAGACACCACACTGGCGAGAATCTACTTACCTGTGAAGTCTGTGAGGAGAAATTTGTCCGAAAATGTGATCTTGACAACCATATGCCAGTTCACTCAAGAGCACAGAAGGTTCCATCTGGAAATGAGAATTTTGTCTGTGATGAATGCGGGAAAAAATTTGTTGAGAAGTCACGCCTAACGAGACACATGATCACCCACACAGGAGAGAAACCATTTAGTTGTGATGTTTGTAGTGTGAAGTTTTCACGACAAGAACATGTGAAAAGGCACAAAATGACACGCCACAGTATAATAAGAACACGTGAAGAGACACAAAGTTACACAGGAACGCATGAAGACAGACAACATTGCATGAGAATGCATGAAGAGACACAAAACGACACAGGAATGCATGAAGAGACACAAAACGACACAGGAATGCATGAAGAGACACAAAACGACACAGGAATGCATGAAGAGACACAAAACGACACGCCACAATACATGAACATATAAAAAGACACAATGACAGGAACATAAACACCTCAAAACACTCAACATGAGATAAGAGGATATGAAGAGACATATATATATGGTTTGACCATGAGACTGTCAAACCACAGTTTCATGGTTTCAGATAGACATGGTGATCATTTGTTGTATCTCTTTCATTAAGACTTTAATGGTGGATTCAAACATTTAGAGGAACACATTTTTTTCTGTGTGAGGATGAATGGTGGCCAGACAAAAATCTGCTCTTTGATGGTCTACAGTAGGGGTGCCTAAGTCCATTCCTCGAGATCCACTATCCTGCAACTCGGTTGTCTCCCCTCTCCACTACACTTAATTCAAATGGATCGTTGCATCTTTTGTCTCTGCTGAGGAATGGTAACAAATCATTCATGTTATTCAGGTGTGTTGGACGAGGGATGCATCTTAAGGTTGCAGGATAGTAGATCTGGAGGACTCGACTTGGGCACACCTTATCTACAGGGTAAGTTCTTTTTCGTCTGACAGTCTGCTTTTTTTTTTTAGTGCAACAACACTTTAGTTTCTCAGTAAAGACTGAATTGTGTTGTTGATATTTCTATCGATATCTCTAAACTCTTATGTAAATAGACTTGGCTTAATTTTATTTTGAGATCTTTGAAGAATAATCTGTTGTCTGTCCTCAAAAGATGAAAGTTTAAACCCAAACTAACTTCTTTCTTAAATGCTGAATTTGGCTGGTAATTTATTGGTATTATGTTTTATACAGTATTTATTTAACTTTATTTTTTCTTGTTGGTGGATTTAGCAGTCTTTTGTGTAACAAAGTATAAAGCTGAACTAACTTTTATTTCATCAAGACTGAACTTTGTTGGTACTACTCTAATTACTATCATTGTTTACTGCTATCTTTATAGTCAAATTTAGTTTGACATTTATTTTTAGTCAGAAGATTTAGCCTATATTTGCTCTGTAACATGATGATATAAAGGTACACTAAGTTTTCCCTGACAGGGAAACATTGTCATTATTTTGCGAAATCTTTGTAAGCATGTTTAGTTTACGATGTTTTGTTTGAAGACTGAGCTTATATCTGTTCTGTAGCAGGTAAGTATAAACCCCAATTGACCTCAACTAAGATTTTTTTAAAGTCTTTAACCTGTTGACTTTTAAAAAGTCTTTTTAGTTCATAGAAGACGGGGTGCTTGTGGGTTCTGTAGTTAGAAAGTCCTTTTAGATGAACATTTCACTAAACTCGAATGCCACTGATGTGCCTTAGGTTTTGTTTCTGCACAACTTTTGTTTAATTTTAACAATCATTTTATCCAATAAGCTCTGTATTTTTATTTATTTATTTTTTTTTTGTGGATCTGGTTTTCCTCCCTCGTTTCAGCCTATGACACCAGACTGAAATGAACACATGACCAAACTGCTATCTGACCAAGCAGTGCTGCAGAAATCTGTTCTCTGTGTAAGCATATTAAACCTTTAAAAGAACAATCTGCTGTGATCATTCTTGTGTATACTTAAAGAATTTGGTGAAGTGTCTGAACCCACATATTCACAAAGAAAACAAACTGTAGAATTTCTATGTATTTGCGTCACTTTTTACTGCAGTTTTTTTTAATCGACCTTTGGGTTATGTCGTTGACCTTTCACATTTACAGACAAAAACTACCCCATCCAATCTGAAAATTACATGAAGGTCAGTCAAACTGGATCAGCAGCGTGTGTTGACCATTCTAGTTTAAGAAAAGTAAATATATACAGTATAAAACGATACATTTCAAAACCTGCTACAGATCTACATCTCTGTGTAGTCAATGGTTCATGATATTTTAGAACTATAATGTCAATATTTTATTTAAAAGATACAAATTTTAGTAAAATCAAAATATCTGAAACCTATAACTGACTTGAACCAAGGCAAAATCTTGACATCCTCAATCAGACGTTCAAGGTCAGATTTATGGGGTTTTCCCCTCATCTGAATGGTGTGACAGTGAGTGAGAAATATCTGTGGAGTTGCTGATGTTTATGCTGCAGTAAGAATAGACCATCTGAACAATGTAGTACAAAAAACTGCACAGCACACAGTAAACATGTATATTTATATGTATTGTATATAAATGTTTATATGTATAAAGATGCTCAATGGGATATGATTCCAAATATTCCACTTTGACATGAAGTGAAGTGATCTCAATATTTGTGCTTTTGTTAAAAAAAGTTAGAGAAAATTACTTTATTTTGGAAAGTTCAGCATATGGCATTCAGCTGATTTTGACGTCCTATATTTTTGTAAAACTACTTGTAACTGTAATCATTTAGAGAAGTACGACGAATAACTGTGCATCTAAGTTGAATAGAACTATATGAAACGGCACGCTTAAAATGCACATCAACGCTCTTTATCTGCACATCCTCATGTTTATGTGGACGTTATTGCCACTCACATTATGGCGGCGGCATTAACGCACGACTCGGACGCTTCTTTGTCTGAGCAAATCGGAAGCAACCAGGCATGTATCAATGTTAGCTTAACTGGCCTGACGAAAAACGGCTTTTTGTGAGAAATATGTGTTGCTTTTATCACTAATAATCTTTCAAACTTCATATTTTCGGGTGTATTTCGTCTTTGCTTCTTTGTTTCGAAGCACTGTGACTATTTGTTGTCGGAGCTCGTAGCGGAGAATACAGTTAGCCTTTGTGGAGCTAAATGAGCTAACGGCAGTTGGTTGGTCAATGTTTCCCAGGTTAAAGCTTTTAAATGTGCACCGTTAAGCAGCATAAGACGAGTCCAGACTGTGCGTGGAAGAGCACACCGTCTGCGGACACTTCTGTAAGTCCTGTCCAGCTGACGGCCAACAGTCTGGAGACAGTTACAGTAGGTATGTTGGCAACATTTTTGTGAAAACAAACCATTTTACCTGAAAGAGCATCAAAGTAACTCTTTCAGAATGCCAAGGTTATGCTGAAAGGTTCGCATTCTGGGGCCGTCTATTTCCCCCATCTTGAAATATGTGACCTAGAATCATAATTTGTTTTTAAATTATTTATCAGCTACTGCAATAAACTATAGTATTAAAAAAATCAGCAATATAAAGATGTGGAAAACATTTCATAGTAATAAAGCAATAGTAGTGTTTACCTTTCATAGTTGTCAGAATGAATGTTAACTGACTTTATTCAGTGCATTTGTCAGGCATCGCTGAAGGGTAATAAAACAATGTAAAAGAAGTTAAAGTTTTGACAAAAGTAAAATATGTTTTTATTGTTTAATTATTTTTTTTTAATAATGTTGAAAAATAAATACTATTTCTGCAAATTCCATCTCCATCAGGAATTTGGTCCTGATACAGGTTTCCAGCTCCTCAAGGGTTTATGGTCATCATTTACATATTTATGGCTTAATGATGTGGCAAATGTTCTCGGGCAGCAGAGCTGGACTGCAGGCGGGCCAGATCGGCACCTTTGTTGACAAAAAGCCTTACTGTTGCAATGGCAATAGTGCATTTTGCATTGTCCTGGGATACACAAGATGTTCTCTGAAATCGGCATGGTGTGGAAGGGGATCATATGTTGCTCTAAAACCGTTATATAACCATATCAGATTTGAAATTAGCTTATTTAGTCAATGAAGGTGAATTTCTCAGTTTCAACATGATGTATCTTTGTGAATAAAATATTAGCTTATTCATTACTAACATCAAAACATTCCTGGAATCCATGTTTACATAAGTTCTAATTTATTCTATTGATCTACTAGAACATATGAAGGTTGCAAACGAGGATTCTGAAAAGGAGAATCACAGGAGGAGCGAGGATGTCTGAGATGATGAAAGTTGAAGCAGATGAGCCTGGAGGGTTCAGCTTGGATCCCCACATACCTGCAGAATCCACATTGGAACTGGAGGAGGAAACACAAGACAGCAAAGATCTCAGTAAGCGACACACATTTGTTGCAGGGTTAGAGCAAATGAGCGATGTCTGAAAGTTACAAAAGAGCTGCTGGGCCTGAAACGAATCAGAGAGCGAGAAATATATTTGAATATTCAAATATATCTGAATATTCAATGGCCTAAAATTCACTGCGGGATTGCAGGTGTTGTGATTCCTGAAAGTCTAGCTTTTATAATCCAGGAAATTCTCGCATACAATTACAGCGATGTGTATTGACGTGGATGTTTCCAGTGGAACCCTTCTCTTCTCTTTAAGGTTTAAGATCCATCTGCTGTGCAACATCAGTGAAATAAGCTGCTCTTTTTTATAAAAACTTAAAAGCAAAAACATAAAATTATAGTGCCTGGAAACCCATAAGTTAATCATAGTTGAGTTTGATTCAGCTAGTTCCTTCATTTTTCTATTCAGTAGCCACGCAGAATGAGAAAGGCCATTAACTGGGTTTTTGTAGAACTTGATAGCCTGGTGAGGAGGCAGTGCAGCCATTTTATTCAGATATGTCGAAGCACGTTCAAGCATTTTAGGATGCTGGCCTCGAGCTGAACACTCTTGGAGAAAAAAACTCCTGGTTGGAAGATTATTTTAAATTTGAAATAAAATAAAAGAGTTTATTGCATGCTAAATTATAATTTTCTTAAAAAATGCAATTTCCAAACGTTGAGTAGTTGTTTCTTTAAATTTAAGAGAACGATAACGTTTTCAAAAGCAATCTGTTCTTGAAATTGCAAAAATCATTGATTAAACAAATACTGCTCTCAGTCCGACAGATATTGGTGATTAAAGAAGAGGTTCCCCATGAATGGAGTTCAAGTTTGGATCAAGAAACATCACACAACCATGAAAAAATGGAGGAACTGTGGACCAAACAGGAGGACGAGCAGGTCATTGTGAAGATGGAAGATGAAGAGAAACCTCAGTTTTCAGAGCTTCAACAAATCAAAACTGAAGACAACAGAGCGACAGAAGTTCAAACCAGCAGTTCAGCTGTAAAGATTAAAGCAGACCCCGATGGAGGGAAATGTGGAGGACCAGAACCAGGCAGAAAACCTGATCCAGTATGTTCTTCTCAGGAAAGTAAGATGCCAGTTCACAAAAAAAGTAAAATTTTAAAACCACGTTCCAAACGTACAGCTCAGATCGAAGTTAATGCGGGAGAGAAGCCGTTTGGTTGCAATATTTGTGGCAAAAGACTCAGACATAAAACTCATGTTAAATTACACATGATGATTCACAGTGGAAAGGGAGAACATAAATGTGATATTTCTACCCAAGCATCCAAAGAAAAGCGTTCTCCCCAGACGCACAACAGATTTCGCACTGCAGATAAAGCATTTGCGTGTGAGGATTGTGGTAGAAAGTTTAATGCAAAGAAATTGTTTCAGCAGCATCTGAAGGTTCATTCAGAAGAAAAACCTTTTTCTTGTGATGTCTGTGGTACAAAATTTAAAAGGAAGGAAACACTTAAAAACCACACAAGAATTCACACAGCAGAGAAACCATTTGTTTGTAGTGTTTGTAGTAAAGGCTTTTCACAGCAGATTCATCTCAAAAGTCACATGCGTGTTCACACTGGAGAGAAACCGTTCATCTGTAGCTTTTGCAATAAAGGATTTGCATTACAAGAGAATTTAAAGAGACACATTCGTGTTCACACAGGAGAGAAAATGTTTGTTTGTAGTTTTTGTAGTAAAGGATTTTCACTGCAGCAAAATTTAAAGAGTCACATGCATGTCCACACTGGGGAGAAACCATTTATCTGCAGTATTTGTAGTAAAGGATTTTATCAACACGGAGTGCTGAAGAGACACATGCGTGTTCACACAGGAGAGAAACCATTTATTTGTAGTGTTTGTGGAAAAGGATTTTCACTACAAGAGAACCTAAAGAGACACATGCATGTTCACACTGCAGAGAAGCTATTCATTTGTAGTATTTGTAGTAAAGGATTTTCACAACAGGATACTTTAAAGAGGCACATGTGTGTTCATACGGGAGAGAGACCATTTATTTGCAGTGTTTGCAATAAAGGGTTTTCACAACATCATCATCTGAAAAAACACATGGACGTTCACACTGCACCATTTAGCTGTAGTGAGTGCGGTAAACATTTTTTGAAGGAAATCCAGTTGGAGCGACATGTAAAAGTTCACACAGAGGAGAGACCGTATGGATGTGATATCTGCAAAAGCAGATTTATTCAGAAGTGTCATCTTGACAACCACATGAGAGTTCATTCAGGAGAGAAACCGTTTGTTTGTGATGTTTGTAGTAAAGCATTTTCACAACAAGACCGTCTAAAGAGACACATGCGTGTTCACACATGTGAAAAACCGTTTGTTTGTAATGTTTGTAATAAAGCATTTTCACAACAAGGGAATCTGAAGAGACACATGGGTGTTCATGAGGGTGGCATGTAGTGAAGAAATGTAGAATCTAGTAAAAATATCAAAATAAAATATTTAGAGGGCAAATGCTTTAATATGATCAAAAATAATAATTAGATAAACCTAGAGCAGATAAATTTGGTCTATTCAGAATGTCTGCCTTTGTCATGGAGTGGACAATATGGTATTAAAATGAAATCTTGGTAGTTCAAGAAAAGTTGGCAAAGTCTTTGCAGACTAAGTTTTGTATTGTGAACAAACATGCTGACAAGCAGAGGGCGGGCATAATGTGGACCTGTACAAGTGGGCCAGTATGAACAAGCAAGCAGTTTCATGCTATAAGTCAGTGGTTTTTACTGTCTGTATAAAAAATGTTATGGAATTTAACTAAAGGTGATACATAGGTCTATGTACTGTCATGCTGGTACTATGGCACTAGTATAATATGCACCAAATGAACAGCATCTTGGCCGATTGTTATTATTAAAACTGAGCGTCTATGAGCATGTAAATAAACCAGCAGATTTCCTGCATTATTCTATAGTTTTTATGGCTGTAAATAGAACTGATGCAAATGAATAACTACATGACTGAATTGACTTTTGCTTGTGATAAACTCAAGAACCATGTTTCTATGAAGTGAGCAGAGTTGGGCAGAGAACCCAAAACCTGTACTCAAATAAGAGGAAGACTAATTCATTACATTTCTTCTCAAGTAAAAGTATACATCCAAGTATACATCTATTAAAGTAAAAGCTGCCTTTCCTCCTGTTTCTGTCAGTTAGAGAGGCCCTAGAGATCAGTGGTAGCAATGGTGCTGGCAAAAGCAAACTGTGATATTATTAAATAACATTTTTATATCACGTGAAATTTTAATACTGACATACAACCTTATGCAGCCCAGAATCTGCTCTGTAAAATGTCAAAGTGTACTGGGAACACGCCAGTGTAGTGGAAGTAATACATGTACATATAAAGTTGAAAAGTGTACAAGAGTTCTTTTTCTAAATGCAAAACGTGAACAGCTGTAAGAAAATTTTGACTAGTTCTGGTTGATAAACATTCAGATGTTTTATCAAATATTTAAAACTTCTTCATGTCCGGTTATCTTACCACCAAATCAGCCTCTGATGTTTTGATTTCTGTTCTTCTCTGACGTGTTTTTAACTGAGGCCACTAGTTACTGTACTGCAGAATAAACCACTGAAGTGCTATAAATTGTGTATCTCTGTGAAAGAAAATCTTTTTTTGTTTGTTTTTGTTTTTACTTCTGTCTTTGCTATCACTGTTGAACATCATTATTATTATTATTATTATTATTATTATTATTATTATTATTGTCAAACAAATGCTGGCTCACCTTTTTATTTCAGAATATTTGTGTATGTTTCCTGGTGCAAAAATATGTGTATTAAAATTCTGTAATAGCCTACTTCCATTAAAATTATTAACATAGTAAGTAATCATTATACAAATACAATATTTGAATGCTTGTTTAATAAGTAAAACAAAAAGGATTCTTTAAGAATCTCAACATAAATGATACCTAGCATATGACATATAATTCAGTATATTATTTTTTTCAATACAGTTCCACCACTAATTTAAATCGATCTGCTGATGGCTCATGTTGCCCCAGCAGACCACAGGCTCAGCGCCTGGAGAGAAACTGGACGTCGCCACTCACAATATGGCGGCGACATCGTCAACGTATAACCCGGACCAGCTCGGTTTGCGTTTATTATTTGTTGGAATGAGGATTAGTTACGATGCAACGTTAGCTTGACTGGCTCTGTCCCGACGAAAGACGCTTGTTTGTGTAAAATATATGCGATAAAAACATCCTCACTGAATCTCCCAGACCATCTCTGGAAGGATGTCGCTTTTACGTGTTTGCTGTGAAGCTCTGTGATTATTTCCAGCCGACATTTGCAGCTCGTTATACGTTATTAGAGAACGGAGCTCTGGTCACCATGGAGCTAAAGCAGCAGAGAGGAAAGACCTGGTCATCATTTGTGGACACTTTCTCCTTCATTGTGGTCCAGCTGAGGACAGAGAGACTGGAGGCAGTTTCAGAGTGAAACCAGAACCACTGACCAAGGTAGACTCTGCTCTGGAGTATCGCTTTAGATCTCTTATAGTTTACGTTTTCTGATAATGTTCTCTCTGATTAGATCCTGGTTTGTGTCAGATTCCAGTTTCTGGCAGGAGAAAGCCAGAAGATCCAGGTTATGTGACTGAAGCCTTGATCTATTTGAGAGGGTTGAAGACAAGGGTTGTGGGAAGGAGAATCCCAGGTGGAGCGAGGATGACAGATGATGAAGGTTGAAGCAGAAGAACCTGGAGGGTCCAGTTTAGAGACCCCAGTACCAGCAGGACCGACATCAGAACTGGAGGAAACGCAAGACGACAAAGGTCTCAGTAAGTGACACACAGAACCAGCCACCTCAGAGTTCTTTGTTTCATCTAAAAAGGAATTTTAAAAATGATCTTAAATTATCAGTATTGGGTCAACTTTTAAATCTATTTTTCTGTGCAGGTGTGCCCAAAGTGGGTCCTCGAGGGCTGGCATCCTGCATGTTTTATTCTCTCCCTGATGGCAGAAACAACTTTCTCAGCAGTCAATGTTCTTCTTAGGCCTCTAAGGAGCCATCATTTGATCCAGGTGCGTTAAACCAGGGAGAGAACTAAAACACGCAGGATGCCGGGGCCCTCCAGGACCCACCTTGGGGACCACTGGTATAAAGTGAAGCTGGAATAATTTGTGAAGAAACACTCATTTTTAATTATTTAAGGTTTTATATTCAGTTTTTAACTTAAGAGGTTCTAAGTAACCTGTATGCCATGTGTTTCTACCCCTTCGACTTTATTTATGTCTATTTTTGCAAAAAAAGAAAAAAACACTTCAGTTTTTCTCTGCTGAAACTGTGACATAAGCTAATGGTTACTGTGAATTTTTTTGATTAACGTCCATGGCTTGTTCACCTCTGCCAGTCCATCGGATGTCAGTGATTAAAGAGGTTCCCCATGCCTGGACCTCCAGTTTGGACCAGGAAGACCCAGAACCCCCCCACATAAAGGAGGAAGAAGAGGAGCAGTGGATCAGTCAGGAGGAAGAGCGGCTTACTGTGAAGATGGAAGATGGAGAGGAACTTCGGTTACCAGAGCTTCAGCAAATCAAAACTGAAGACAACGGAGCAACAGAAATTTCACCCACCTATTCCCTTGGACAGATGGAAAAAGAACCTGGTAGAGAGGACTGTGGAAGACCAGAACCAGACATGAACCTGGACCCAGCATGTTCTTCTCAAAAGATGACAAATGACAGAAAAGGTAAAGGGACTAAAAGGTTTCCCAAGCAGTGTTCACAAAAACATGAACCACAATGTGCTCACAAGGAGAAATTAATATTTTTATTCAGTACCAGAAACGTTGCAGACAAGAATTTTATGCTCAGATGATACGAGTATGACTTTTATTAGCACTACAGTGGACCCTGCTTATTTGCAGTCAGGTATTGGCAGATTCATTTATTAGTGTATTTTTATGTGGAACATAACTCCAAATAATTTTAGGTAATATACTCATTTACAGATTTTTAGGTGCTGCTTGGGAATCTGAAACGCAAAGTGCTACTTGACACTGTATTGGCCGGCATTTGCAATACATTGATACATTAAATATTCTTGTCTCTAATATTCTTGTTACACCTACATTTTATTTCATTCTGTGATAAGTATCTATTTACATTGGGCACAAAGTGCTTTCAGTGAAAATGTGCCTCTTATTTTGCTGACCCTTGTGTATCAATGTAACATGGATTTGATGATCAAATTTTGATTATTGCATTTCAGTGCTGCCACTCAAACAGATGTTGGTGATTAAAGAGGTTCCTCATGACTGGAGTCCGAGTTTGGGCCAACAGGACCAAGATCCCCACATAAAGGAGGAAGAGGAAGAACTGTGGATCAGTGGGGAGGAAGAGCAACTTACTGTGAAGATTGAAGATGAAGAGAAACCTAAGTTGTCAGAGCTCTACCACAATAAAACCGAAGACAACATGGAGATGGCAGCTTTAACCACTTGGTCAGTTGAACAGATGAAAACAAAATGTGATGGAGAGGACTGTGTAGGACCGGAACCAGACAGGAACACATATTCAGAAGACTCTTCCCAAGAAAGTAAAACGGCTGTTCACAGTAAAGGTAAAGGAACTGCAACGTATCGTCTTCATACACATGGGAAACTCCACACCGGAGAGAAACCATTTGTTTGTGATTATTGTGGTAAAAGGTTTAATGCAAAGAACTTTCTCAAGACTCATGAGAAGACCCATTCAGAAGAAAAACCTTTTTCCTGTGACATTTGTGGTAGAAAATTTCATCAAAAGAGTAGTATTAAACAGCACATGCGGAGCCACACTTCAGAAAAAACATTTGTTTGTAGTGTTTGCAACAGAGGCTTTTCACAGGAAAATTTTCTGGAGAGGCACATGCATGTTCACGCAGCACATAAACCGTTTACTTGTAGTTTCTGCAGTAAAGGTTTTTCCCAACAAAATACTCTATTGAATCACTTATATATTCACACAGGAGAGAAACCATTTATTTGTAGTGTTTGCAGTAAAGGTTTTTCCCTAGAAACTGTACTAAAAAGGCACATGCTTATTCACACGGGTGAGAAACCATTTATTTGTAGCGTTTGTTGTAAAGGATTTTCACGACAAGAGAATTTAAAGAGTCACATGCGCGTTCACACTGGAGACAGACCGTTTGCTTGTAGTGTTTGCTGTAAAGGATTTTCACGACAAGGCTATTTAAAGAAACATATGGATGTTCACACTGCACCATTTAGCTGCAGTGAGTGTGGTAAACATTTTGTGAAGGAAATCCAGTTGGAGCGACATGTAAAGGTCCACACAGAGGAGAGGCCTTTTGGGTGTGATATCTGTAAAACCAGATTTATTCAGAAGTGTCATCTTGATAATCACATGAGAGTCCATTCAGGAGAGAAACCGTTTGTTTGTGATGTTTGCAGTAAAGGATTTTCACAACAAGACCGTCTAAAGAGACACATGCGTGTTCACACATGTGAAAAACCGTTTGTTTGCCATATTTGTAATAAAGCTTTTTCACAACATGGGAATCTGAAGACGCACATGAATGTTCACGAGGGTCACAAGGAATGAATCAAAATCCTGACGTGAGGTTGATTAAACTGCCTTAGCATGTCCTTAAACAGGCATTCTAATGACAACCTAGATTATTTCACTGAGCAAATACATTTGAATGAAAGATCTTTAAAAATCTAATAGAAATGTCAAAATAAGGAGTCAAATGTTTAGACGGCTAAAAGTTTTAATTTGATGATCAATATTATGACCATAAAAACCTCGAGCAGATCAACAATAACTGGTCTATTCTCGGCTTTTGTATTCCATTGAAAGCTCAATATTTAAAACGGCTTTCCAGCCACAGAGAATCATTTTATAACAGTCAACTGTGTTCCTTGAGTTGTTATACAAGTACTGTACATAACAAATGACTAAAAAGAAATTTGACTTGGTAATTTAACCCTTTGAAATTGGCCTCTGTGTCTTTAAGAACGTTCTGCTCTTTACAACATCTTACTTTCAAGAAATCGTCACATCTTTCCTCTCTTAACCATTTATGAACATTTTTACCAGCATTGCACTGGGAAGTAGCTCCTATAATGAGCTCAGCAGATGTGCTGTTCCACCAGCTGTTTGTTAATTGCTTCTGGCTAGTCTGAAGGAGCTGAGAGGGCGGGTTTTGGGGGATCGGTACTCTGAAACAAAAGCTTGGGATGAATGAGTGGCTGCCACCAGAGATTAAAAGAATCTTGAAACATAAAGCAAAGAGCACAATTACAGATTTTCTGTTTGTTCTGGATACTGGTTCAGTTATACTTTGCTTTTTGTTTTGCCAAAAAAGGAAATGGCAGTTTGAAATTATGCACTTCTCTGAATGAGAGCTAAACTGATTCCAGCTTATTAGTTTCAGCCTAATTGGGGAAGTTAAGTGGTCATATTGTAATTAGTCATATTTTTGGCTCGTAACTAGAAAGACACTGTGTCTTCAAAATATCTTCTGATACCATTCCATCAGAAATATCACTGAGTATAAAGTGTTTTCTTTTTTGTTTTCTGCGAACCCTAATTCACTCACTGCCAAAGGGGTCAGTTTCTAAGGTTTTGATTCGTTTTTTTTTTTCTTGTTTGTATTTTTAATTGAGGTCACTGCAGGTTAAATCGTTGAAATGGAACAAATTATGCATCTCTTTAAAAGAAATTGTCTTGTTCTCTCTCTCTCTCTTTGTTTCATGCTTCCTGGTGCAAAAATATGTCTGAAATTAACTGAAACTGATGTTAAGGTTTGTCTAAACTAAGCCTTTTTAATAAAAATGTTTAAAAGATGTGTCCAGACTTATGTTTATGCCATAATTGCAAAAAATGGGCCTGTTCGTCTTGCAAATTACCTGAGATGAAATGTTTTGCTATTTTTGAAAACATTTATCATAGCAGAAATGTAAAGACCTTATAAAAAGGTTATATTGTTGCAGGAACATTTTCAGTATTCAATAAAGTGAAAAAAATCATTTCAATCAGAAAGTGTCGCAATTGATCCTTCTGTGTAATGATAGCTTTAGGATTTTAAATTTGCATCAGTAAAAAGAAAATTAAAAATCTGTAACTTCATAACAAAAATGTTGAAAAACACATTTCTGATAGACAAACGACTCATTACATTATATAACTCTACTTACACATAATTTTTTTTATTTAGATCAATGGTCTCATGCATGATTTAATCATCGTTTGTTTTCTAATAGTTATTTACACATCAAGCTAGTTTACAAAGAGTTTAAAAAACACTTTTTGAAGGCAAAAAAGAGGAAAAATAGGCATTCTCTAAAATCCAATTCATGTACTTGAAAGATTACTTGAGTCCCATACTGTTTTATTATGAATTCTCAAAGCTGGAAATGTTTTGTTGCGTCAGAACTTTTCTCACCATTCATTGGTTAGTGAGCAGGAAGTGAGCTGACGAAGCAACGTTAGCTCGACGGGCTAAGTCCCGACAGAAATCTGACTTAAACTTTGCGTTAAATATGTAATTGATGTCTCAGACTCTGTTCTGGAACGTTTTCGGCAAATTATTGCGTTTACCTATTCGTTGAAAACAACTGGAATGATTCGTTTGCAGTTCATAATGTAATTAACAATCATTTACAAACAGACTGGACTATTAGCATCCATGGAGCTAATCTATTTCCGAGGTTAAAGCTTTTAAAATATCATGGTTTAGAGCTACAAGACGATTCCGTATGGGTTTGTGAGACTATGTGGGGAAGACCACGTCGTCTGTGGACCCTGTTGCCCAGCTGAGGATCGAGAGTCAGGGGACAAAGTGGACCTGGAAGTGTTGACCAAGGTATCAGCCCCTCTGCTCTGCAGCATCGCTTCAGCTCTGGTACAGTTCGCATTTTCTCCTTCATCAAATCAGGTGTTTATTTGTCTCACTCAGGTTTCAGAAACCCGGATGTCCCAGAACATGTGAAGGTTGTAAACAAGGATTGTGGAAAGGGGAATCCGAGGGGGAGCCAGGATGTCAGAGACAAAGAAGGTGGAAGCAGATGAGCCTGGAGTTTTCAGTTCGGATCCCCACATACCTGCAGCATCCACATCAGAACCGAAGGACGAAACACAAGATAGCAAAGATCTCAGTAAGTGGCACACATTACTTTATCTGGATTGGAACAAGCAAGTTCTTAAGAGTCCGACTCCGTCTTAAGGATTTTTTTGCAACTCAATTCTTCATCTTCAACACTGAGATCAAGTCACCAGAAGCTTTTAGATGTCTCAAGATCCAGACTTAGAAGTAGATGTGATTCTTCGTTTGCAAAGACCGGGGTTCCATAATGTCCCAGTCTATTTTACCTCTCCTTATCAGGTCTGCTCAGAATGTGGAAATATTGAGGTGCTACGAAACACTCAGTTTAACTCCATGGTATTCAAGACAAGTAAAGCATGAGTTATGAGAATTTATGTTACTTAACATCTCTGAGCTCCTCAGTAGTTTAAAAGCACTTGATTATTTCCCCTGACCACTCCAAAAGTCTCATCTTAAAACATTTCTATCCAAATAAGATAACCTTATAGAATAAATATTACCTGTAACCTCACCCAGCTGGGAAATTCATGTTTATCAGCAGAAATGTTAAAACATAATAACCAAAAATAAGAAAGAGGAAAATGTAAATTTGAATTTATCAGTATTGATTTTGTTTTGTTAGTTTATGTATGCATGTATGTATAGATTTTTTTCATTTAGTTTTTTTTAATCATTAAAACTGATGGCAAACAGTCATGAATGTACTTTTGTTGTTCACTCTTCCCAGTCTATCAGATATTGGTGATTAAAGAAGAGGTTCCTCATGACTGGAGCTCCTGTTTGGACCAGCATGGCCCAGAGCCCCCCCACATAAAGGAGGAAGAGGAGGAACAGTGGATCAGTCAGGAGGAAGAGCAGTTTGCTGTGAAGGATGAAGAGGAAGAGAAACCTAAGTTATCAGAGCTTAAGCAAATTAAAACTGAAGATAACAGGCAGATAGAAGCTCCAACCAGCAGCTCAGCTGGACAGATAAAAGAAGAAGCTGATGGAGAGATCAGTGGAGGACCAGAACCAGATAATGACTTGGAACCTTTGTGTGCTTCTCAAGAAAGTCGCACAATGGTTTACAACATAGGTGAAACATCTAATAAGCTTTCCAAACTCACATCTAAGATAGAAGCACATACTGAAGAGAAGCCGTTTGGTTGCAATATTTGTGGAAAAGGGTTCAAAAGTCAAACTGCTATTGAAATACACATGTTGACACACAATGGGAAGAGAGAACATAGCTGTGACCTTTGTGGTAAAATATTTAAAAAGAAGAGTTCTCTTCAGACACACATGAGAGTTCACACTGGTGAGAGACCATTTGCCTGTGCTGATTGTGGTAGAAGGTTTCATAGAAAGGCGATTCTTAAAAGTCACTTGGAGGTCCATTCAGGGGAAAAGTCTTTTTCCTGTGATGTTTGTGGTTCAGGGTTTAAAAGAAAAGAAACCCTTAAAAAGCACATGTGGATCCACTCTGCAGAGAAGCCATTTGTTTGTAGTGTTTGCAGTAAAGGATTTTCACGACAAAATCACCTCAAAAGTCACATGTGTGTTCACACAGGGGAGAAACCGTTTATTTGCAGTGTTTGTAGTTCAGGATTTGCATTACAGCAGAGTCTAAAGACTCACATGCTTGTTCACACAGGTGAGAAACCCTTCATTTGCAGTTTTTGTAGCAAAGCATTTTCCCTACAGAGTCATCTAAAAAGTCACATGCGCGTTCACACAGGAGAGAAACCGTTTGTTTGTAGCGTTTGCAATAAAGGATTTTCCCTGCAAGAGAATCTGAAGAGACACATGCGCGTTCACACTGGGGAGAAACCATTCATTTGTAGCTTTTGTTGCAAAGGATTCTCACAACAAAACCATCTAGAGAGTCACATGCGTGTTCACACAGGGGATAAACCATTTACTTGTAGTGTTTGCAGTCAAGGATTTTCACGACAAGCTTATCTGAAAAACCACATGGATGTTCACACTCCACAATTTGGAGTTAGTTGACCTGTAACAGAGGAAATGCATTTAAAGACCTTATCTTACCACTATGCACTTTTCATTGTTTTCTATATTGTTGACTGAGATTTTGATGTAGCTAAATTCTTGCGTGAGGTCCACACTGGGAGGAGGCAGCATAACCAGAGGAACAGAGTTTGGCTGTTACCTTGGACGTTTGCTGGCTTTCTGCTGCAGCATAGGTAGACTTAAGGGGGTTTATGAACCACAAGCTTCCACAGAGTGTGATTTTTGTCTTTTGTTTAGTTATAAGGATTTAATGAAGCGCTTGTAAACAAACTTATGTAAGCTGTTGGCTGGCCAGTTAAAGGTTGGCTATTATGTATTTCTCAGGCACATTGTGTCATTTTATAGCACAATTATGTAACTGTTACATTCAGTTATTATAAAAATGTTGGATATATCAAAAACTTTAAAGAAAAGAATTTGTCTTGACAAATAAAAAAAACAGGTACACGAACTAAAAAATATGAGCTGTCCTGTCCCCATACATCTGACTGTAGTAGAAACCTATTTTTGTTTTTCATTATTGGCAGAGTTGCCCAACTCTAGTCCTTGATAGCCATCATCCTGCAACTTTTAGATGTCTCCCTTTTCCAACACACCAGAATCAAATTGTTCATCAGCATCTTTTCTCTTCGCAAAGGTTATGAGTCATTCATTGGATTCAGGTGTGTAGGAGCAGGGACACATCTAAAAGTAAAAGGATAGGAGATCTCAAGGACTGACTTTGGACACCTCTGATGTGGTGATTAGGAGTGTTTACCATAAAGTATCTGGCTAAAAATGAACCTCAGAAATGTGATGACAACTATATTTCTTGCCTGTTTGTTAAAGTAGATTATTATTTATTATTTAGAGAGACCAGTTGACCCAACAGTCATGTTTTTGACTGTGGGATGAAGCCGGAGTGCCTGGAGAGAACCCAAGCATCCACAGGGAATACATGCAAACTCCATTTAGGAAGGCTTTGCGTGTATTCTATAGGTAACAAATTTGAGCCAGTTTGGTGCAAGGCAACAGTGCAACTAACGTCAACAAAAGTTTCTTTCAAAAGGTGTAGATTTTATCTTAGTGTTTGTTTGATATCAATAAACCACATAAAATCATATGTGATTGTTTTACTGTGATGGTAAAAAGACGTATGTCATTCATTTTAATATGTCAGTTGTGCGAAATTCACAAAACCAGAAGGTGGTGGCAACATTTTAATCTTAGCTTCCTATGTTTACATTTGAGTCAGTTTTATTTTCAGATTCTGGTTCTATAAAGTCCACTGTGCATGTATAGTGAGCACAACTCACTATAAGTTGCACCCACAGCTTTTTTTTAAAACTGGAAACGTACACGTATAAGCCACATGGTTCAAAGCGTGGGAAAAAAGTAGCGGCTTATAGAACAAAAAATACGGTGATTGTTTTTTTAACCTTTGCATTGGATATTCCTTTATTTTCTGGGGAAATATTTTTGCCAAAGTTGTCGAGGTTAAAACAATGGATCACTTAGGTGAAGTTGGCCTAAAGAAAGTGGTGCCAAAGATGTTAACATGCTGAGGAAAATAAAACAAATTTTGGAGAGGATATTTATGTATTCATAATGTAAAGCAGTTTGAATTGCTTTGTTGTGGAAATGTGTTACAAATAAACTTGAAAAGAATTTTTATTATTATTTTTTTCAGTAACAACCAGAATTTGCAGTCTGTCTACTCATTTCTGCTTTACGGTGTGGCACTATGTTTACTCTTAATCACTATCGTATGATTATGTGTAAACATGATAAATATGCACAGCGGCACATTTTGAGGAATTAAGTGAGGTTGTTTGGAAGTATGAAATTTATTGAAAATATAAAACACCTGCTTCTGAAAGCCATCAAATGTAAAATGCACAGCTGTAAAATAGGAGAGCAGTATTTTTTTCAGTCCATGAGTCAACTTTGGTTTACCTCTGTTATGTAGCTTTACATTCACATGCACAAAGCCAGCAGTTTCACTGGGTGTTACGTTGAAACACATGGTTAGTAAGCAAAATAACAGCTTGAAAAGAGAAATGCCCCACGTACCTACAGCGTTTCAAACTGTTTCCTGATCAGACTTCATTTTCATGAGGGATGACCAGAGCTTTCAAAATGTAATAAGTTGGTAAAGTTCACAAAATCCACTTTTGTTTGCTGTTATAGTTTTAAGAAGTTATCTGCCTTTTTCACTTGTTGCCTGTATCCCATGAACAACACTTCTTCATAATGGAATTCAATTTCCAATCAGCTCTTAATGAAAAAAACCCAAACTTTTCTATTAATGTTAAAGTGCTCTGCAAAACTCTTAATATTTTAACAATGAGTCAAAACTGTCTAAAGGCTCCAGTTTATTATTAAATCATGTATTTTTAATTTCGCACCACCACTAATTTAAATATATCTGCCTGCTGATGGCTCATTTTACCCCAGCAGACCTCGCAGTCTCACCTCTGCACTCAACCCCCTTCGGGACAGAACTGTCCAGAGCCACTCACAATATGGCGGCGACATCGGACCAGCTCGGTTTAGCTTGACTGGCTATATCCCGACGAAAGACGCTTGTTTGTGTGAAATATATGTGATAAAAACGTCCTCACTGAATCTCCCAGACCATCTCGGGAAGGATGTCGCTTTTACTTGTTTGCTGTGAAGCTCTGTGATTATTTCCAGCCGACATTTGCAGCTCGTTATACGGAGCACCATGGAGCTAAAGCAGCAGAGAGGAAAGACCTGGTTATCGTTTGTGGACACTTCCTCCTTCATTGTGATCCAGCTGAGGACAGAGAGACTGGAGGCAGTTTCAGAGTGAACCCAGAAAGACTGACCCAAGGTATCAGACTCTCTGCTCTGATTTCTATATTTTTACTCAGGGAAGCAGCACTTTGGAGTAGCTCTGTACTTTCATTGAAATTTTATGCTATTATTACTATTATTATTTTTCAGTCATGGTCATGAATGCCATGCTCATTAAGGATGGTCCTTTATGACTATCCTTTTTCAGGATGGTCATGAAGAAAGCCTGCAAACAAAAAGACACTGAAAACAAAGTCTTAAGTCAGAGTCTTCTTCAAATGCGCTGCGATACTTGCCGCTACAACACAGCCATTACCATCTACAGTAACACTAAAGAAATTTGATTTGATACAAATTACAACAACATTTAATTTCCCTTTGGGATTTGTAAAGTGAATTTAATTTGAAAATGTGTCTGATTCTACTTTCCGGCAGCAAAATAACTGAAGACCCATCTTATATGGAGAATCTCAAGTGGAGCGAGGATGTCTGAGATGATGAAGGGTGAAGCAGATGAACCTGGAGGGTCCAGTTTGGAGGCTCCCATTTCTGCAGGATCCACATCAGAACTGGAGGAGGAAACACAAGACAAGAAAGATCTCAGTAAGCGACTCAAAAACAGTCACTACAGGCTTCTTAGTGTTATGTAAAATTAAATTAAATCTAGAGACAAATTTAAGTCATGTATATACCAATAAATTTAAGCTTTTGTCTGACCCAATTATAAATCTAGAAAGTGTCTTTGTTAAGCAACTTTTCTGAGCGATGTCCACATTTGTTTCAGTGTTGCCACTCCATCAGATGTTGGTGATTAAAGAGGTTCCTCATGACTGGACCCCCAGTTTGAGCCAGCAGGACCCGGTCAGCCCCCTCATAAAGGAGGAAGAGGAAGATTTGTGGATCAGTCAGGAGGAAGAGCAACTTACTGTGAAGATTGAAGATGAAGAGAAACCTGAATTATCAGTGATGTATTGCAACAAAATTGAAGACAACATGGAGGCGGCAGCTTTAACCACTTGGTCAGTTGAACAGATGGAAACAGAATCTAATGGAGAAGACTGTGGAGGACCAGAACCAGACAGGAACCAAGATCCAGTAGACTCTTGTCAAGAAAATAAGAAAAATGTTAAATTAGGTACAAGAGGCAGAAGAGCTAAGAGTTCCAAACATACAGCTCAGACTGGAGTCCATGTAAGAGAGGAGCTATACTGTTGCAGTGTTTGTGGTAAACGTTTCAAACATAAGACTTCTGTTAAAATCCATATGATGATTCACACTGGAAAGAGAACACATTACTGTGCTCTTTGTGGTAAAGGATTTATTGGAAAGTGCCGTCTTCAGACACACATGCGACTCCACACTGGAGAGAAACCATTTGTATGTGAGTATTGTGGTAAAGCGTTTCATGCAAAGAACTTTCTTAAGACTCACGCAATAATCCATTCAGAAGAAAAACCTTTTTCTTGTGAGGTTTGCGGTAGAAGATTTCATAGGAAGGATAGTATTAAACAGCACATGAGGATCCACACGGCAGAAAAACCATTTGTCTGTAGTGTTTGCAACAGAACGTTTGCACAAGATGTTGTTCTAAAGAGACATATGCATGTTCACACAGGACATAAGCAGTTTACCTGTAGTGTTTGCAGTAAAGGTTTTTCCCAACAAAATGTTCTCCAGAGCCACCTGCGCATTCACACAGGAGAGAAACCATTTATTTGTAGCGTATGCAGTAAAGGATTTTCCTTACAAAATGTACTGAAGAGACACATGCGTATTCACACTGGTGAAAAACCATTTATTTGTAGCGTCTGTAGTAAAGGATTTTCACGACAAGAGAATCTGAGGAATCACGCCCGTGTTCACACTGGAGACAGACCGTTCGTTTGCACTGTTTGTTCGAAAAGATTTTCTCGACAAGGATATTTGAAAAAACACATGGAAGTTCACGCTTCGCCGTTTAGCTGTAGTGAGTGTAGTGAACGCTTTGTGAAAGAAATCCAGTTGGAGCGACACATGAGGCTTCACACAGAGGAGAGGCCATTTAGCTGTGACGTCTGTAAAAACAGATTTTTTCGGATGTGTCATCTTAAAAACCACTTGCGAGTACATTCAGGAGAAAAACCATATGTTTGCAGTGTTTGTTGTAAAGCATTTTCGCAACAGATCATTCTAACAAGGCACATGCATGTCCACACAAGAGAGAAGCCGTTTGTTTGCAGTGTTTGCAATAAATCGTTTTCACGACGCGGAGATCTGAAGAGCCACATGCATGTTCATGAAGAGTGCAACTAATTGTGTTTTTGAAAAACACATTTCCACTTTAGTTAGTTGTGCTTAATGTGATTTAAGGGGCGTGTGCCTTAAATCACATTAATTGTTATTCAATTTCAATGTTATTCTTGGACTGAAATTTGTTGAAGGGCTTTTATTGAAAGCACTCACTGCATTGAGTGTTTCAATATTTGAGGCTGATTTCATCTCATGTTCTCATTTTTAGTAATCCACTTGAAATGTTACATATCATCTGTTCATATTTTTAGTTTTATGCGACATGGCCGAAATATTTGTTTTGGTGCTTCAGGTTCAAATCATTCATAGTGTGTGTACATAATCTACTGTTTTGAAATATACTGAAACCTATTAAATACATATTTCTAAGTCTAAGTATGTTTGGACTAAATTAGATTGTGTTTAATTAAAGTTCAAATTGTGAAGTTCATTGAAAGTTCAGTGTTTCTTTGCTATGCAAAAAATTAAATGTTTTTTTTGTGATGGTTGCTGTGATAGAATAAATATAAGTTTTTATCAATAATTATTCTTTCCCTGAAAGGCTAATACTGAAATTAGAACATTACTCATCATTCATTGGTCAACGAGGAGGAAGAAAACGGATGTCACAATGTTAGCTTGATAGAAAAACGTCCTAATGTTTGTCTGTGATTAATGTCAGGCTCTCTTCCTGACAGACTCTACTAGGCTGGACTCAAAACTACTGACCCAGGTATCAGACTCTGCTCTGCAGCATCAGTCCAGATCTTCTGCTGCGTTTTACTCTTTCTACTAAAAATAATATTAATAATATTTGTAGGTATGTTTGAAGAGTTTATATTTCCATGCACACTACCTGCGATGCTACCAGTTCTATAGCAGATCCAGGCTTTGACATCAGATATAGTTAAAGTTTTATTTTTTCTGCAAAACTGTTGTGGGCGTCTGTTTAATTATGAGTTAAGAAGATTAGTGTACCAGTCTTAACAGATACAGACATGTATGAAATTCTACATATTTGTGGAGGAGTTATTTTAATTTATAATTTACAGTGGAATAGTCAAACTCTAATGTTTAACTAGTGGCCAAAATGAAAAATCTTTTCCAATATGAGAAAGTACTGTATTATTTTGTTCTTGTGTTTTTCTATCAACGGGTTTTACTTTTTATTGTAAATAAAAACCATCTTCTCAAACCATCTAAACAACAGTTTATCTAAAAATGTAAGCATTTAGTAACTAAGTGTCCACTATAAAATTATAGGAGAAAACTCAGTTCTTTTGAACTCAGAACTGGAATGATATAAATCACCTGCTTTTAATATCCTTTAAATGAGTTTTGTCGTATTTAAACTGTATTATTTTGAAAAGCTGATGGTGGGTAACGGACGTGCTACTTCCTGTCGGAGCTGTCCGTCTTGTTCATTGGTCATTCAAGAGGTAACCGGATGTAGCTATATTAGCTTAACTGGCTAAGAACCGAGAGAAAAGCGTCTGAAGTTTGTGTAAAACAAGGATTTAATATTTAATTCATTACCAGTCTTTTGGAATATATTACTCCTGCATATTTATTTTGGATGGTTGTGATTATTTCTAGACGAAATTCACGTCACCGAACGTAATTAGCCTTTATTAGCAACATGACTAGACTTTCACCTGAAGAAGAGAATCAGTGTTTTCGATGTAGATGCGTTTAGTAGTTCACAGTTCAGTTATTTAAGACAAGTCCACATGCTGAGATTGTGAGACTGTGCGAGGAGAACCACATCGTCTGTGGACACCACCTCTAACGTTGTTGTCCAGCTGAGGATCGAGAGACTGGGGACGCCCAGAACTACTGATCAAGACATCAGACTCTGTTCTGGAGGATCGATTCAGCTCTGCGACAGGCTGAAACGGAAATACAGAAGATACGGCTTGTTTGACTGAACATGTGAGGGTTGAAGACAAGGACTGTGAACAGGAGAATCCCAGGTGGAGCGAGGATTTGTGAGATGATGAAGGTTGAAGCAGAAGAACCTGGGTTCAGTTTAGAGACCCCCCTACCTGCAGCATCCACATCAGACCTGGAGGAAGCACAGGAGGGCAAGAATCCCAGTAAGTCACACATTGGTTTGTATATAATTAGGGATCCTGGAGGGAGGTTATTGTAGCAACTGCTTCTGCCCATTAGTCTGCTTCTTTAAATTATTCAGTTTAGCAATTAAATTAGTCTAATTAACCCTACATTGAGCTTGCTCTGGTTTTCTTCAAGGATTGTGGAATAATTTCAAATTACGCTTCATGAATGTTTGCGACACATTGGATTTTATTCTTCCTTTTATTTTGTCAATTAGTTGCAGTAATTTTTCCTGCACATTTATGTTGTCTATGACCTAGAAATTAATGCTTATATGACACTACACTTTTTCAGTTGCATACTTTCCTTCAATTTCTATAATTATATTCACATACATGTCCAGGCATTGATATAACACTTTGATAATGCCAGCTTCATTTCCACAGAAGCCCATTCTCCGTTCTGTGCTGTAATTGGGTCAACAGCTTTGTGCTAAATGCACAATTTGGCCGGTCCAGACCATTAGTAAAAGGGCAGATATCTACAAACATTTTCTTTGTTCTGAAGTCCAGATATTTTAGTTTTACTACCAGAACATGAAGGTAGATTGAAACAATTTCTAGTGTCATCTCTTCTGGTTTTCATTGGTGTAAAAAGCTGCTTTTATATTGCCTCAATTTGTTTACACCAATTTTTGCAGACTATCACAAGTTGGTGATCAAAGAAGAGGTCTTCCCAGACGGGAGCTCCAGTTTAGATCTGCAGGACCCAGGACACCCCCGCATAAAGGAGGAAGATGAGGAACTGAGGATTAGTCAAGCTAAAGAACAGCTTACTGTGAAGAGTGAGGATGAAGACAAACCTCGGTTATCAAAGCCTAATGAAATCAAAACTGAAGACAACAGAGAGACCGAAGCTTCAACCAGCGGCTCAACTGAACAGATAGAAATAGAACTAGATGGAGAGGACTGCATAGAACCAAAACCACGCGGAAACCTGGGTCCGGCCTGTTCTCAAAAGAACAAGGCAACGATTCACAATAAAGGTAAAAGATCTAAACTGCATTCAAAATTCACAGGACAGATTGGAGTTCACCCTGGAGAGAAGCCATTTGGGTGCAATGTCTGTGGTGAACGATTCAAAAAGAGGTCTCATGTTAAAGTGCACATTATGACACACACAAGAAATGAAGAACATGGCTGCGATCTTTGTGGGAAAGTATTTAAAAAAAAGAGTTACCTTCAAATACATATGAGACTTCACACTGGTGAGAGACCATTTGCCTGTGATGATTGTGGTAGAACATTTCATAGAAAAACCATTCTTAAGAACCACCTGGCAGTCCACTCAGGAGAAAAACCGTTTTCCTGTGATGTCTGTGGTACAAGATTTAAAAGAGAAAAATCTCTCAAAAACCACATATGGTTGATTCACACTGCAAAGAAGCCATTTTCTTGTACTGTTTGCAGTAAAAGGTTTTCACAAGAAGAACATCTGAAGAGTCACATGGGTGTTCACACAGGAGAGAAACAGTTTGTGTGTGGCTTTTGTAGTAAGGGATTTTCACTAAAATCAAACCTAAAGACACACATGCGTGTTCACACTGGAGAGAAACCCTTCACCTGCAATATTTGTGGTAAGGAGTTTTCAAGACAAGATCATCTAAAGAGTCACATTCGTGTTCATACGGGAGAAAAACAATTTATTTGTGGGGTTTGTAATAAAGAATTTGCACTAAAACAGAATCTGAAGACACACATGCGTGTTCACTCAGGGGAGAAACCATTCACTTGCAGCATTTGTAGTAAAGGATTTTCTCAACAAAATCGTCTCAAAAGTCACATGAGTGTTCACACAGGAGAGAAACCTTTTGTCTGTAGTGTTTGTAATAAAGAATTTTCGCAGCAGCGCAATCTAAAAATTCATATGCACATACATACAGGGGAGCAGCCATTCCTTTGTAGCATCTGTGGTAAGGGATTTTCATTGCAAAGGAATCTTAAGATTCACATTCGCGTTCACACCGGAGAGAAACCGTTTGTTTGTCATTTTTGTAGTAAAGGCTTTTCACGACAAGATTATTTAAAAAGTCACATGCGTATTCATACAGGAGAGAAACCATTTGTTTGTGGTGTTTGTAATAAAGGATTTACGCAACAACAAAATCTGAAAAGACACATGGAGGCTCACACTCCATAATTCAGGTGGAGCAAATGTTTAGGTGGGGGAAATAAAGACAAATCAAAATGTGCAACTCCTTTCAGGGGTGCACTAATTTTATTGTAATATGTGTAAATTCAGAAGAAATCAAACATCTTGAATTTCACATGATATGTAGTCTCTACTATGGTGCATTTCTCAAGCTGGAAATCTAAAAAGATCAATGTTCTATCTGGAGATGTTTCAGTTAAAGTGAAACAGTAGACTTTGGTTCTGATAAATGGCGAATTTAACTACAAGAACCTTCCAATCAATCAAATGTTTAACCACAAGTAAGAAAGCAGTTTTGGTTCTGATTTTTGTAAAGCAAAATGTCCATACCTTTTTCAGGACTCAGAGCTTTTATTGTGTCCATCATTTTTTAACAATCGTTCCCCAGTCCATGAACCACACTGACCAGGAGGTTTGAAATATTTTCCAGCTTTAACAAACCTGGGGTTAAATGAAAATGACGCAAACATCTTCAAACGTTTGTCATAAATAGTGAGATTGAGGGGAGGGCACTGACTGATTTTCGTTTTATTTGAGCAGTTTTTAAAGTTTATTCAATCCTAAGTGTGAATATTAAGAGGATTATTTTTTTATTTTTCTACGTACTTCTGGATCACTGAGCTCCTAACAACAGAATCAAAAGGTGGCAGCAACTGTCAGTAACTACAGCTCCTCAATGATGTACTTACAAACTTCTCTGCAGTTTAGATGCACATGTAAATAAATGCAATGGCGCTAGAATCCTGTGAGCTCTGAAACAAATAGTTTCACTTTGTCCTGAACATCATGTCTTTCTGACTCCTGCAAAGTGAATGTTTGTGAGCAGATATTGATGTTGACATCTTGGCAGAACTTGATCACTATAGCTTGTCCTTCCCGTTTTCCTCTTCATAGAAAAAAAAACATTTTTATGTCACCTTGTACAAAATTATGTGCTTTACTGAAAAGGTTTATTAAAAAAACAAAAGACACTTTTGCCTAGGCATAAATCAGTGACGTGCGGTGAGCTTCATGGCTGGCGAGGTACTGACTTTATAAAAAACAATAGACTCCCTGCATGTTATTGTTTACATAGGGATCTTTCGCGCATGCAGACAACATTGAAGGGCAAAAGAACTATTTTCACATGCCATCCATCGCCGCGCTGCCACGGTAGAATATTCTGTTAACTCAATGAAACTTGGAAATATAGATATTATTTTAGTGCTATGCTCTTTTTATAATAAATGTAATTTATGTTTATGTTTATTCAGTAAATGTCCTGAGGTTAGTCTTCTTAATCAGGGCCATGAAAACACAGTGAAATTATATTAAAACAATTTTCCAAATAAGAATTTGTTTCACTTCTTTCCCATTTGTGCGCTTTGTTCTGAAAGGTTGAAAGAGGAAGTAGAAATAGCTATGGTTACATTAGAGATCTCTCAGATTCTCCATTTAACGATTATTACCATTGGTAGCTTGCTGCACAGAATGTCATTAGTTTTAATGAACAAAATGAATAGACTTTTTGCTAAAATAGCAGAGACTGAATGAGTGTTTGTGACATTGAAGTTTTTAAAAGTTCAGGCTGTGGCGCTTTACAAGTCGACCCCGAGTTTATGACACTGGGAAAACTACCTCACCATGTTCCTTAAAATAAAATACATTGTTTTAGATCAATTCAATTTTTTTTTATCACAGTACACTTTAATATGTATTTTTCAGATTTATTTAAAGTGAAATAATGGAGACTCAGGTCCATATAACACAGACACTCATAAAATTAAGTATAACTTATTTAGGACTGGCTTGTTTAAATGGGATTTTTTAAAATATTTTTTAAAATGTCTGCATAATGGTATAATTGAAAAGAATGAAGTGAAATTCGCCTATTGTGTGAAGGTAGCCCTTTACAAGCTTCACATGTAGAATATTTTTATTTTGGGTAATGTTATCAATGAATGTCACCAAAAGTAGAAAAGCAACCTAAGAATATAAATGCTCATGTAAATAGAAGAATATCATTTTGTTAATTACACCTCAAATAATGGCTTGTTAATAAACCTGAGAAGAGGTTGTTTTTCCTTTTTCTTTTGAATCTATTGTAATTCTTTTGTTGTGAAAACCTCCAACCCCAGCAGCGTGGGCATTACCACTGCGCATGTGCGCCCCGTGAAGATTCCTGCGGTCTGCAGGTAGACGCTTTCGAGCGAATCGTTTCAGTCCTTTTAAGATCGTCCGGTTGGTTCCGCTGAGATGACGGACTGTGGCAAGCCGATTTAACATAAATTCGTTTCTTTGGCAAGCCGATTTAACATAAATTCGGTTTCGTCTGACTATCCGTAATTACGTTCCAGATATCTGAAAATGCATTTTGACTAGACAAAACTACATTTTGACTATCCGGAATGGTAATTTAAGATATCTGCTTTTACATTCTGACTAGTAAGAATAATTCAAGATATCTTCAATTACATTTTGATTAGTCAAAATTTCTTTCAAGATATCTCAAATGACGTCACTGGATTTGTAATTTGACGAGACACGTATCCGGAATTACAATTTGAGATATCTTGAACGTAATTATCACTAGTCAAAAGTACAATTTCAGATATCCGAATTAAGAATGACGTTGAAGCCCTTTGTGCCGACCAAACTGTTGCCTTTTATGTTTCCTGCACAAATTGTCCATAAATGCCACAAATTAGAAAGAGCTCGGCAATAATGGACATGCGGAGAACGCAAAACTTTATAAACTATAAGACTGCTAATGATGTCTGCAAAAAATGTCCTGTTTATTCATTTCTGACAAACTGAATGCACTTAAAAACAACTTTGAAAAGCTAAAACTGCTTTGTCAATTCCATTTTTCAACATGAAAGTTGTGCATTTTTAAACATCTTTTTTCGTTTTTTCTATTTTTTCATTGTTTTATTAAACTTTCAAATTGCCACGTAAATCAGTGACGCTTTGACTAGACAGAATGCCAATTCAATATCAGTAATGTCATTTTTGACTCGTCAGGATGTTGATTTAAGATATCTTAAATAGAAGAGTTGAATAATTCAAGATATCTCTAATTCATTTAGAGATATCGTAAAAGGAATTTTGACTAGTCAAAATTATAATTCTAGATATCTCTAATTTAGTTTTGTCTAGTCATTATTTGCTTTTAAGATATCTATAATTTAATTTCCACTAGTCAAAACTACATTTCTTCTATCCAAAAATACATTTAAGATATCTTGAATTATGGACTAATTAGAGATATCTTGAATTAAAAATTATGACTAGTCAAAATTTAATTGTAGATATCTGAAATGTGTATTTCACATAATCAGTAATTCATTGTAGATATCTTGAATTGAAGTCCCCATACAAATCAATGGTAAATCTGACGTCATTTTGACTAGTCAGAATGTAATTGGAGATATCTTAAATTGCTAAAACGTCTAGTCATAAAACAATTTGAGATATCTGGAACGTATTACGGATAGTCAGGCAAAACCGAATTTATGTTAAAACGGCTTGCCGTAAATGACCAGCTAAGCCAATCAGGTATTGGTGACGTATTGGTCACGTGATCTTCCTGAGGCAAACTCAAAGCCCGAATCAAATGTCATAGATTGACGTCTTGATAATGTAATCACAAATCATGTTCTTTTGCAGATAATGTGACAATACCAATCAATATAAATTATATATAGATACCTATAGAGAAATAGATATCTATATCAACATATTTATATTTTTGTATAGATATAGGCCATATTATAATTTACATATATTCATATATAATTTATATTTGATGGTTAGAAAATAATTAATGACTAAATGATGGCGGAGCGGCTACAGGACTTTTACGTCAATCTATGACGTTTGATTCGGGCTTCGAGTTCGCCGCAGGAAGATCACGTGACCAAAACGTCACCAATACCTGATTGGCTTAGCTGTTCATTGGTCACGTGACACTTCTCTGTCGCATTCAAACTCCGAATCTGACGTCATAGATTGACGTCAATGATCAGCAGAAGCAGAGCCTTTGAATGTTGGGCATCTGCGATCATTTGGTCACAAATCACTTCTCTTGCCTTGCAGTAAATGCTTGCAAACACAAAGCCCATTAGAGACTTAATGGGCTTTAGATTGGTTGATCCTTTCTCAGTTTACAAGCTATGCATGGTTCAAGAGAAATGTCGGGTCATGAAAGACTCGTTTGACCGCCGATGACAAGGCGGTCAGTGTCATGTGATTCTGGTCACATGACACATGGTGGGCTGGGAAATAAGCTTCCATACCTTTGTATGGAAGCTTATGGGAACTATAACTTATGGTACATATATAGAGATATAGATCTATATATATATAGAGCTATCTAGATATATCGATATATCTAGATAGATATATCGATATATCGATATAGATATATATATATTTGGACCTTTAATGACACACATTTCTGAAGTTATCCCCCCACTCCAAAGAAAATAACATTTCATCAGCATGGAGCTAAAAGTTGTGTTCTTATAGAGCTTCATAAAGTCCAAAATGTTTTAAACTGCTGTAAAAGCCTGTTGTCTTTTGTTTGCTTTTAAATTTGTCTGAATTTGTGTTGCTGCCCTGAGCAACTTTATTTACTTTATTTTTCTGCTTGTTGCAGAATTGTTTCTTTAAAGCCTCAAAAAGGTGCTACAGGCCAACAAGCTATCATTATGTGTAAAGAGATTTTCTTTGGTTGTGTTAATGTCAGTGTAAACACAAAGTCCATCAGAGACTTAATGGACATATATCTACGTATATATATATATATATATATATATATATATATATATATATATATATATATATATATATATATATATATATATATATAGAAAAATGTTAGTGTTGGAGTTTCATTTACATTTGAAATATTGTCAGGAACATGCTGCATTTATTGGCACTGTTAGCACAAACATTGCAATAATGGTACATTTAAGTTTGAGGAAATAAACCAACCTACTCTGTAAAGCTCTGAACACATTGTTGCAATGTCTTGAAAATGCACAACTCTCTGACAATGCCCTGTAGGTTGTAAGTTGACCTTCACATAAAGGACCACTTGACGTTAACAAAGCTGTTCTTTATCCTGATTTGCAAAGTTTGTTACCCTGAACCAGTCACAGCCATGAGTTTTTCCAGTACAGTAATACCTGTAAGAAAATATGGTGAGACAACAGCAACACCCCCCCCCCCCCCTCACAAATAACAAAAAGAAATTGTGGATCCTTTCCTGATGAATGAGCACATAGGTAAAACTACCACAGTTTGACAATATGGGTGGTATGATGAAACTTTCGCTGTGTTTACCGTGATGTGTAGTCCTTGCGTCGTTTTACCCATAGTGAAAAGTTTTATATGGTGTCTGGCGTAGGGAGTCGTTCCCCATTCGGCGTCCAGATGTATCCCTCATCTGCTACGAGTGCAGACCAGGACATGATCCTAACCTCATTCCTCATGTACCACTTTTCCTTTTTTTTTTAGTTCTGTCCATTTCCTTGGTGTTCAAGGCTGACCATGGAATCATGAGGCCAACTGAAGAATCAGGGTCACACACACCTGAATGCCCCCTTTTTGAAGCCTGCTTGTGTTGACCCTGTATAAGGGAATGGTGAACACAGACACGGGAAACAGACACGGACACGACGTTACGTCTTTCACTTCCAGTTGTAATGCATCTTCAAGAACAGTTTCAAATATTACATAACCACATACCGAGTGCTGAACATTGTACAGAAACATTATGGTTATCGCCATACAGTAATAAGAAATGTAGCACCGGCCGTTGCTAGCCAGAAAGATAATGCGGGTGTAACGCTTAATAAAATTCAAACTACTGCAAAGAACTCAAAGACTCCCTGCTTATTCGGCAAACAGAATAAACTTAAATACAGGTCTGAACCTTATAAGTTGTAATTTTACCTGTATAAGGGAATGGTGAACACAGACACGGGAAACAGACACGGACACGACGTTACGTCTTTCACTTCCAGTGTTGTAATGGAGGAACAGAAGTAACGCGTTCCACTACCCCGAGTCAGACGAGACCAATCGAGACACACGATCAGACACGATCAGTAAACAGACAAAACTAATCGAGGCACGATCTGTAAATAAACTCTCAAAATTTTGGATTTCATATTAATAACATTAAATGCGTATTATTCATATTAATAACATTAAATGCGCATTATACCCTACAACATTCTCCCCCACAAAATAGATGTTGTCCCCAACATCTTGACTCGTTCAATGTTGGGAAAGTATTAAACATATGAAGCAACACATCAGTCTTAACAACATATTCCTCAAACCATTAAATCTACTGACAGACTGGAACTCTTTTCATACATTTTCATTTTGAGGGTAAACACCCAGTGTCAATAGTTTAAACCTTAAAGGCACTACTTGTCCATCATATTAGTGATCATCCTGTGACCCCATAACAACAGTTCATTGAAAAGTGGATTGTAGCTTGGATGCCAACATGTCGGTTCACATAGAGAATAATCCCTTATCGTGAATGTTATAGTAAACAGTCCCTTAGATTATGAACCCAATGTGTGTCCATTTTTTCCGGCTCAGTGGTACACCATGTGCTGTGCTCTCATCTCTGGTAGTCATATGAGATGTAGTATGGGTGAACAATGTTCATCCATGGCATTGTGAAGCATGTGGGCTCTTGGGGAGTCCTTAGGTTGTAGCAGACTGGAGATCCCAGTCTCTCATATGTAAAAAAATTGGGTTTCCTGTGAAGCCGTTGAGGTCGTTGAGCTTCCTGAGGACCCTGAACTCTCTCTGTAATGATCCCTGGTGAAGCAGGTTGTTCAGTGCATTCTCCATCATTTGTTCCTCATTACAAGTGCCAGACTCCTCATAGTCCATCAAAGTTGTTTCTCCTTGCTTGTGATCTATGTCAGGAACTGTGCTCTCCTCAAACCAAATATCTCCTAGTTCTTGGGTTGTGCTTGCAGGCATAGGATGCTCTTTCTCAGACTGAGCTGAATGGTGAAATAGCACAGGATAGTAATCGTCAGCATCA